AGGCATAAACTGGCACATCCACTTTGGAAAACAAAATAGCGATCTAATGAAATCAAAGATGCATACAACGGTTGATCACCATGATTCTACCTGATATACATATTACAGAAACTTCTGAATATTAAAACAGATACAAGAGGACTATTAATTGCCTCACTGTTAAACAGGAAAACATGCTAAGTCTACCAATAAAAGAATGGGTAAATTATGAAGGTTTTTCCAACCAATAGAAATATATCCATATATAAACACAAAATTACAATGTTGAAAATGTTGAGTATGACTTAAATTTAACTTTCCCCAAAAAATTCCAAACAAACTGATGGTAGGGATACACAAACCTTTATGGAATCACCATTATGGAAGATAGTCCTTGGAGCTAAGGAGTATGGTGAACAACATACTTAAAAAATGCTAGAAGTACTGCAAAAGAAACAGCATAGCAAATATATTCTGGTTTTTCTTTGGCTGCTTAAAGTCCAGCAAAATAGGTTTCATATTAACTCCTCCTCATCAAAAATTTTCAATCTGACTTATTATAGGAAATAATTTCTTAAATAGGGTCCATGGACTATTACAGAGTTTAGGATAACCCAGAAACTACCACACAATTTTATATGCATTTCTAGAAAATGAATCCACTATTTGGGTGCTGAAATAAGATTGTGACTGATTTGAGGCTTTATTAACGATTTTTATCTGATTTTATAGTTGTAGTCAAATGAAAACAGCATTTTCTTTACAAACAACCTGGCCGGATATATGTATTATGTAAAGGGATAAACAAGGTGATACTTAAAAGAAGAAGGTGTCATCCACTGCTTCTAAATTTGTCTCTTAATGTTTGTTAATTTCCTAATAACAACATAAGACTAAAATACTTAACTGACTAATGTGTATGTCTAACTATTTTACAGATGAAAAAGTAATCTAAAAGAATTCTTCAAGTTGTTACAAAATCTACAATAAATTTGTGGAGAAGCTGAAATTAATAAACTTTAGTCTTTAACACAAAGCTTTAACAGGATCATCTTCATCTGCCATTTATCTAGACAAAAAAGTAAAATACTGTCCTTTTTATTTCAAAAAGTCACACACGTAAAAAGCTAGTGGAAAAAGGCCAGTGAAAATAGAATTATACAATTTTTGAGGTATAAAAAAGAGGGCTTAATGTTAGCTTTATCAACTATTTGTTACTGTCCAAGCCATCTAAACAGGTACTGAATGCCTGTTGTGCAAAATCTCACATAAGCACACACTTCAATAAGACAGCAAGTGACAACTGTATCTTTTCAACTATTCTTTAAAAAAAATTCAAACAATAGTACTCTGCTGCCAGTTTCATGATTAAACCGCACAAAGCAGCTGTTTATCCACTCACAGCAACCAGCAGGTGAACCTGATTCAATATTTATCACAGGCTTTCACAGATCACTGCTAACCAAGCAAACGTTTTAATTAAGTTGGAACTTGCTTCAAAGAGCTCATTCAAGATGTCAATCAGCAGGTATGGGATCAGATACAGTGTCAGGTGAGAGTGTGTAATACAAATCCACAACTTTCTTCATCCCATCGCTGTAAATTAGCCTGCTCTAAAGTTCAGACTCTGATTGTAACAGACTGCCAGTCTCCTGGAATGTGTAACTGAAGTCACTCAAATTCTATTGTGAAGGTTGTAAGCAATATGTTAAACTGCAATGGGCTAGCACATTAAGACAGATCCTTTTCACGGTTGTTTTTTGATACCATAAGTGTTTGTTACCCTACTCTCCACTTACTGTTTACTTTCTTGCCTAGTGTAAATGGGAATTCCTCAAGTCAGTTGCCCTAGTTTCTGAAAAAAATCTATGTTTCAGTAGAATTAATCAAATAGGATTCAAAATGGAATAATTTTCATCTAAATTTATGCTAGAACTATCTTATGCAATAAGGATTCTCAGTTTAATAAACATATCCTTAAAAATGACAAATCTGCTATAAAGCAAAAATTCTCCTGCACTTTATACAGATGTGAGCATAGCCTCAAGTCTTGAAGTAGTAGTGAATCACACTGACCAACTTCATAATAAATACTTAGGGATCTTTGTTTTTTTTTGTTTTTGCAGTACTGGGGTTAGAACTCAGGGCCTCTTGCTTGCTTACAGTTACTCTACCACTTGAGCCACACCTTCAACCATGTATTGCTCTAGTAATTTTGCAGGTAAGATCTCATGTCTTTGCTCGAAGTGGGCCTGGAACCATAATCCTCCTAATGTCTGCCTCCTGAAGTAGCTGGGATTATAGAAATGAACCACCCTGCCTGACTGATACCTAAGGTATTCACAAGAAAAAAAAAAAAAAAAAAGGCAGGCATGGTGGCATAGGCCTGTAACACCAGCACTGAGGAGGCTGAGGCAAGAAGATAGGTTGGGGCCAGCCTGGGATATACAGTGAGATCCTGTCATAAAGAATAAACAAAGAAAAAAGGAAAGAAAATAAAGAAAGCTGTTCTTTACAGAGGAATGGAGCTAAAACTTATAAATGCAATTATAAATTTTAAAAATCACCATTTTGCGACTCATAATTTATTCAGGCAACCTACATAAATGGATGCTAACATCATTTTGTGAAAAGTTGTTGTGGTAAGGATATTCACATAACATCACAGTACCACCCAACGAATGACTCAGTAACTACAAAAGGAAAGTGTACCTTTACAATAGACAGACCTGGGTAGTCACCAATTTAACCAAGTGGTCAAATTTAGCATCAGCAGTAGTGAGACAATGGTATCATATGCATTCTGTGTGTAGCAGAAACATACTTATGTGCCCATCTTGAATCCAAACAATCAAGGCTAGAGTGGAGATCAGTGGAAATAGCTTGCCTAGCATAGGCAAGGTGTTGGGTTCAAACGCCACCAAAAGAAAAATAAATACATACAGGACATGAATCAAAAAGAATTGGAAAATAGAGAAACTATGGTAAAAAGGCATATTTGTATTCCTTAGTGAAAATTAATCCAATTGTACACTTATGACATGTTCACTTGTGTATTTTATTTTAAAGAGGCTTATAAATCCTACCTAGCCCTTGGAATTGCAGGTATGATAACATACCTTTATAGTATTCTGGTATTTTTCAAATTCACTTCAATGAACCTTTTAAATTAACTGAGAAAACATTTCATGGGCATTAAAAATTAGATGTCATCATTAACATACAAGCCTCTAACACAATACCACACAATAGCATTTTCTCTAATGATGGAATGTTAAGATATCTATTTTATTCAATATAGCTGCTATTAGCCATATGGGACAATGAGCACTTGAAAAGTAATTGGTCTAACTGAGTGAATTTTAACTAATTGAAATGTTCGGTTAATCAGGATAGATCTTTGCTTCTTTCACAATCAGCGTATCATTAAGTGGCATGTATTCACTATAACTGAATAATTCACTCTTTCAAAACATGTTCAAGATCTTCATTTTAGTTTTAGGGAGTGTTTTACTATTTTTTATCAATTTCTGTTCATCACTTTCCACACAGAACTTCAATAGTTTATCCTGTTTCTTCATGTCATTCGAACACCATATTCTTCTGTAAGATATTTCACACAATGCTATCCAGTTTCTCCAACAGCTTGACTTTCTATGCTATAGATAAATATAAATGCTTCCTCTTTTTGTAATCACTGTTACCCACAAGGGTATTTATAGATCTTTATTGACATTTTCAACACTATCTTTATATCACAGAAAAGAAGAAAAAAAATCCCTGTGAGTAATTCATGTAGGTCTTGGTCCCACGTCAGGCATCAGGAAATCTACCACCAGAGCCTCCCCCACTGCCCACCAGCCATTTTATTATCCTTTATGAGCGTGCTTGTTTGGGATAATCTGAGTATCCATGGAAAAGATGTATCACAGCCATTAGGGATCTGAGGGCTTTTTTTTTTTTTTATTCCCCCTCTTGGGGACACTAAATAAACAGTGTGTTTTACACCTAAATTTTAACTGAGACCATCGCATGTGATATTTGTACTATATTTTACAGTTTTCTATAATTTTGAGGATCATTTTTAAGTTAAAAGGAACAATATATAGGCATGTGTACTACTCACCAGATAACTGGTCAATTAATAAAGTGGGGTTTCTAAAGTAAAGTTATCTTTCCAAACCCACTATCCATGAATGTAAAGCTTCTGTATAACAATTCTAAATTCTACCATCACTAAACATACAAACCCATGCCAGCTGGGTTGCTATACATATTTTACTGAGTGGAATACCAAGAAATATGATATATTCACCAAATTCATTCAACATGATAAAAGTGATCAGAAATTTTTGAGAATGACTCTATTTCCACTACACTATTAAGCTTGCTATAAGCTCTCAAAAAACCATAATTACTGAAGCTGAAGAAAACTCAGCCAATTACTAATCTACTCTATCATCCTGCCCTTTTGTAAATTTGCAGGTAAGACAAGAGAGTCTCACTAACTTCTGGTGAGACACAATCTCAAAAACAAGCTGGGTGTAGGGGTACATGCCTATAATCTCAGCTTCATGGAGCAGGGCACAGAGAGAAGGGTCATGGGCCAAGGCTGGCCCAGGCAAAAAGCATGAGACCCTATCTAAAAGATAACTAAAGTAAAAGGGCTGGAGGCATGGCTCAAGTGATAGAGTGCTTGTCTAATAAAATAAAAGCCCTGAATTCAAACCCCAGCACTGCCTCCCCTTAAAAAAAAAAGTATGCAACAAAATTACATGCCTGTAATCCTAGCACTCAGGAGGTAGAGGCTGGAGGATCGCAAATTTGAGGCCAGCCTAGGCTAAACAGCAAGACCCTGTTTCAAAAAAATACCGTACCTATAAAAATCTGAATTTTAATGACCATGATATACTATGTGAAAAATAAGTTATGCACTGTGAAAATTCTACAGAAAAAGGAATATGTGTAATACAAACTAAAATACAAAATTCAATACAAATTCTTTTTTTTTTTTAATTTATATTTTTGTATTTGGGGGGACGGAGTAGAAAAGAAAGCAGCCCCTATACTGGGCCCTATTCAGTGGCAGCTTCTTGTTCCACAGGGTTAAGGAAGACTTTGAGGAAATAAAAGTTGTTTGGAAAAATCCAGGTGTAGTTGCTTCTTTGTAGGCTGTGATGCATAGAAGGGATGAAGTGAACTGCAAAGGCTCCTCACACCCTCCATCTTGCCTCAGACTATGTCCTGGAACCCTGGGGCAGAGAAGGCACCACTTTCATTCCTGCTTCTTGGGATTGTTGACTGCCACGTAGTGATAGAGAACAACAAGCAAGAAAAGCAACACACCCAACATGTTGGCGAACATGGTGAGCTGCACATCAGTGATCATCCTGACCAGCTCAACTCAACAATACAAATTCTTGACAACTTATTATATAAGCCCCTCTGCAAGGTTATTTTTTATGTTTTTTTGGTAGGACTGGGATTTGAACTCGGGGGTACATGCTTGCTGAACAGCTGCTCTATCACTTGAGCCACATTTCCAGTCCATTTTTCTCTGGTTATTTTGGTGATGGGGGTCTCACAAACTATTTTCCTTAATCGCCCAATCTCACCTCCCAAGTAGGTAGGATTATAGGTGTGAGCCACAAGCAACTAGCTGCAAGGTTACTTTGTATCTCTTCCCACCAAGACATGAACTCTACTCCTGAATGTGAGTTTGGCCATTTGACTTGCTTTTGGTGTCTGGAATATTAGAAACTTGAACAGAGATTCAGAGGTTCTCTTGCTTCTCTGGAACCTTGGAGCCATCATATATATCATCAGCAGCCTGCTAGATAATGAGAGCTGCTGGTCCCAGTCAATTAACATTCACCTCTGAAGCAAGGCTGCTTTCCTAACTTCCAGTCTATCATAGCTCATGAGCAGGACAGCTGAGATTATTAGAAGAAAAACCCAGGTGACATCAGTCTAAATTGCCAGCTCCCCAAATAGTAAGTCAAATAAATAGGTGGTTTTGTTACAAAGCAACAGATAAGAGTGTATGTGTGTGTCTAAGAACTGTATCAAGGGTTGATACTGGGGAACAGATGAATTAAGGATTAATGTTAATAAATTAAGCATATATTTTGGTGGTTTCCAAATTTTCTCTAAGAAATAGACAATGCTTTTTGTGTTCAGAAAAAACCCGAATGTCATTAAAAATACAAAATTCAGTTCAACATCAAAAACTGTTTTTTAGTATTTCCATTAAATATGAAAGTCTAAAAATACAGGCATTCCTGACCTGATATATATGGATGAACTGACTTTCATGAGAGTTTGAAGGTGAATAGCACATAGAAAACAAAGCAAATGACAAAACAACTGTGTGCACCAGAAGAAAAAAAAAAAAATCATGACTTGGGGAAAGACCTGTAATCAGTTTTGGATGATACTTACAGAATTATAATTTAAACACTAACTATTGGAAGCCTAAGGGGGAAAAGTAATGATAAAGGTGGAAAGATAGTAGGAATGCAGAAGAAAATATATAAAACCAAAAATTCAAGAGAAAATCAGAATAAACATGTTATTTTAAAAACAGATACATATTAGAATAAGTAAAATGAAAATCATTGGCTTAGGATAAGTGGGAACTGGTGAAAAACAGACCAAGGACAAGGGTCTGGCTTTTTGCTTAAAGCCATTAAGAATTCTTTGGCTCTTAATATATATACACATATTTTTAAAAAATAAAAAATTACAGAAAAAATAGTTTAGGAACCAATCCAAGTAGATAGAAACTAAGTATTTGGTAATGACAAAACTTCAAAACAGGAAAAATTAAGTGACTGAGCAACTGATCATCTACCAGAAAAACATACAGCTAGAGCCTGATCTCAGACTAAAATAAATCCTATAAGTAAGAGTTGAACTGGCAGAGTAGATCAAGTGGTAGAGCTCCTGCTTACAAAACATGAGGCCCTAAGCTCAACCCCCAACACTATTAAACAAAAAAAGTTGAAACTATGACAGACTTATGAAAAATATCTGTTGTAAATTCATAAAAAAAAGGATCTAGGAAAATTCTCATGGGTTTCTGTTAACTTCCGGGAAGCAGAAAGGAGAATGGGAGTAAAGTAAGTGAGAACACCTTAATTTTTACACTGTGCTAGCTTATATGGTCTGTTAAAGGTTTCTCAAAGAATGGTCATTTTCAGAATTTCTTTTTAAAATTGAGTGTAAGTCAGATGTGGTGCTGCACACCTAAAATTCCAGCATTTGAGAGGCTGAGGTAAGAGGACAGAGAGTTTGAGGCCAGCCTAGGCTATACAGAAAGAACCTGCCTCAAAAAAAATTTTTTTTAGTTAAAAATTGAATTTAAATCTCCATTTGGCTCTTTAATAGCAAAGTATACAAATGTTAATTTACTCTTTCCCCAATCTACAGTCTGGTTGCTAAATATATATTTTTAAAATTACTTTATTATTATTATTATTTTTTTTTTTTGCTTGTTAATCAAGCACTCTACCACTTTAGGCCCTCAAACTGTAACTTTTATTGTTTTGTTTTTTTTTTTTGGGTGGGGGTTGTTGTTGTTGAGATAGGGTACCTTCAGACTAGCTATGTAGTCCAGGCTGGCCTCAAACTGGTGATCCTCCTACCTGAGCCCCCAGCATGCTAGGATTGTAGGCGTGTGCCACCACACCCAGATGCTAACAAGATATTTTAATGCCACAAGTATTGAATAATAAACTCTATTTTCTCTCATACAAGTTTTTTTTAAATTGCCAGCTAACAAAAAAAAATTGGCTCCATTCTTTGTCCTTTGCTCACATTCATAATCCATGAATTTATATTTAAAGTTAGAACTAGGTTCAAGTTATGGTTTGGTTATTTACCTGCAGCATGATCACAGACAAATCATCTACTATCATTTTCTTTTTTACTACGAATGCTTCATGAATTTGTATGTCATCCTTGCACAGGGGCCATGCTAATCCTCTCTGTATTGTTCCAATTTTAGTTTTTGTGCTGCCGAAACAACCACTCATCTGCCACCTTTTGCCTTTGATTTTCCTACCTACAATATGAGCCCAATATCTGCTCTATTTTCTTCACAGTGCTGATATAAACATCAAATAAAAGAACATATGAATTACTTGTCCTAAGTACAGATTCCAAAAAATTATAATTGTATCATTATAACTCAAGAAATATAAAACAGAATATTTAATGATTCACACAGGTTTTTTAAATGTCGCTCCTTGAATAAACCATACTCGTTACATTACTCAATAATCTGGTGCTATGGTAGCTACAGAGGCCAAAAATTACTTGTAATATTTTATGTTAAGTGCCATTTACCTCTTAATCCCTGAAATTAGTCTTTTATTTTGTATGTGGATACATACAGTACAACCAAAATGTGCTTATTTTTGTATGTGGATACATACAGTACAACCAAAATGTGCTTCAGAATATATGTGCATGTTTGTATATACACATACAATTTTTAACAATACTGTCATACCCCCTTAAGTACACAGGACTAAGCAAAACTTACAAGCTACAAGTGGTGGTAAGTCATGCACTTCCTTGACTTTGGCTACTTTTTCACTCATTTATTCAACAAATATATGAGTACCCACTAAGTGCAGGCCCTATGCTAGATGCTGGTTATAAAAATGTTAAAAAGAGAGACATCACATTTGTCCTTGTGAACAGCCTATGAGCCTGGCAATGTCTGGTTTCTTCTGAGATCCAGAGGAACATCTTAAATATAAAAAAAAATAAAGAGAAAAGGGGAGGAGGGAAGGGAGGAAAGGGAGGAAAGAGGGAGGGAGAGAGAAAGGAAAGGAAGGAAAGAAGGATGGACAAAGGTGTGGAAGGAAGGAGGGAAATCAAATTCTCACCAACATCAATATTTCATCAGAAAGTCAACAGCGCACTCTGCTGGACCTAAGTCTCTCCTACACATGAGGCAAAAATAATTAAACTATGCTACTGGTACATTAAATCAAATAGAATTACTTCTATTAATGTATATAATAATACATTATTAATAATGTTAAGCATTTTTAATGAATAAACTAAGTCAATATAAGCATAAGAACATATATGTAAGAATACCTTATCTATTATGAGGATTTACTAAATAATACATATATAATTGTAGTGAAAATAATTAAGAATGGGGGAACAAAGCAGTATCACAATTCTCAAAACCAAAAATGTTACTCTTAACAGTATTTCCACCATTTGGAAACACGCCTCACTATATCTCTGGTAAATGAATTATCAGTGTAATAAAATAAAGCTAAAATGTCAAAAACGGGAACCAACAGTGGATACTAGAAGGTTACTCATAAGAAAAGGGATTGACAGTATTTTCTTTTCTCTTTCCAGGGCCTCACGCATGCTAGACAGCTAGACAAGTATTCTTCCATTCTTCCACTGAGTTATATCACCAGCCCTACCAATACTTTCTGAAAAACTGGAGGTAGGAAAATGGAGACAACTATTTAATTCTACAATCCAGTTAGGAAATAAACTACTTTAATAAAAACTAAGAAAATTTTAAGGTAAAACCTAAAAGTTTAATATCAAATGATCCTCTAAATTTTAATGGTATGTGTTGTGATATTCGGTTTTTCATCTCTAATTTTATTAATTTGGGTCTTCTCTATCCTTGTGGTTACTTTGGCTAAGAATTTGTCAATCTTGTTTATCTTTTCAAAGAACAACTTTTTGTTTCATAAATGTGTGTGTATATATATATAAATTAGTCTTTGTTTCATTTTCTCCTCCCCCCTCATCCCCCCAGGTACTGGGGTTTGAAATCAGGAACAATAATCCCAATTTCTGCCTCTCAAGTAACTGAGAATATAGGCACAGTTCACCACTCCTGGCCCTCCATTTCATTAATTTCTGCTCTGATTTTTATTATTTCTTACCACCTTCTAATTTTGTGTTTGGCTTATTCTTGCTTAATTAAGAGCTTGGGGTGTAAACATTAGGCTACTTATTTGAGATCTCTTTGATTTTTTTAATGTAGGTGCTCATAGCTATAAAATTTCCTCTTAGCACTAAGCTTTTGCTGTATCCCAAAGACTCATTTTCCTTTTTCTTTTTTTTTGTGATATTGGGGTTTTAACTCAGGACCTCAAGTCTACTAAGGAGGTACTCTACCACTTGAGTTGCCCCTCCCCCAGCCCTGAGTCTAGGAACTTTTTTATTTCCCATTTCCTTCAATGACCCACTGATCATTCTGCAGTGTATTTTTCAGTTTCAGTATATATTTTTTTTCCATAGTTTCTTTTATTGTTGTTTCTAAATTTATTCCATTTTATCTGAACATTTTAACTATAATATCTTGGAGAGGTTTTTTTCTGGTCTTGTCTTTTTGGTGTTCTAAGATTCCTGTACCTATATGCTATCTTTCACAAGATTTGGGGAATTTTCTCCCATTATTTTATTGAGTATGTTTTCTATCTCTTTAGCTTCCACCTATTCTTCTTCTATACCCATGATTCAGAGGTTTGGCCTTTTAATGGTGTCCCAGCGGTCTTGTATGTTCTGTTTGTATTAATTTTTCTTCTTTATCTGATTGTTCTAATACATCTACCTTGTTTTCCAGCTCTGGTATTCTGTCTTCAATTTGATCCTGTCTGCTGGAAAGTCTTTCAACTGGGTTATCTGACTTACTGAGATTTTCATTTCCAGAATTTCCATCTGATTTTTTTTTCCTCAATACTTCTATATCATTATTGAATTCCTCTTTTATATCGTGCAGTCTTCCTTATTTCATTCAACTGTTTAATTGTATTTATTTTAATTCATTCAGGTGTTTATACATGTTCTCTTTAATTTCACTGCTCATTCTTATAATCATTCTTTTGAGTTTTGTGTTTTTGCATTGGGATTTGCATATTTAAACCAAGTTGCCTGTTTGAAGTTTTAATCTATAGTCCTTCAGTTGAAGTGTCCTCAATGTTTTGACAGGAGTATGTAGTGGCAAGGTTGTGATGCAGTTTTACACCACATGCTCAGGACACTAGGTCTGATCCCAGCACCACTCAAATAGAGGAAAACTAGCTGGAGTCTCTTGTAGTTCTAATGTATAGGTTGGTGGTATATGTGGGTTGAAGGCAAAGTGAGTCAAGGGTCAGTTGCCTGTTTCTGTGCTGCTTTCACCTTAGAAGTTTCCCTTCTTTGTGTACTGGAAGCAAATGCTGGCCACATGGAGATTTGTAGTCTGTGAGTAAGGCAGGTTCCCATTTGTTGCACAGACACCCCTAGTTTGTGCCTCCAGGGGCAGAAAGCGTGCAAGCCTAGAAGTGTACCCCAAATGCACCTGCCTCCAGGGGCAGAAAGCGTGCAAGCCTAGAAGTGTACCCCAAATGCATAGTGGAGAAAAAGAACAGCATTCAGTTCTGCACTAGTGGTAGAGAACTGAAAAATTCAGGTATTCACCTACAGGTCTCACAGCTTTCAGACTCCACCTAGTAGTTTATCACTGTGGAATAGAAGAGACTGGGGGAATATCACATAATCCCCAGGTCTTGTGCTCAGAGTTCTCAGCACTGCCTGGAATCAAGTACCCTCAACCAATGGATAGTTCCTGGATGCCAAGAACTCCTCCAGCCAAGGGCTTGATGCTGTTTCCACAGTGATCCTCAGACAATGGGACTTATTTTCACCAGAGTTGTTGTAAGGCCACCAACCACCACACCCTTTGCTGCCCAAGCTCCCAGCTTGCATAAACTTCTCAGTGGGTCCACATCAGATCCTCTCCCTCTGCACGACCACGTTTGTAGCTGTTTCCCACAAGGACATTGTGGCAGCGTGTTTCAAGACTCCCTGAGGCACAGGTTTTCGAGTCACCAGAGTAGCTCAGTCTTAAACCTTGTTTGGCAGCAAATACCTGTGGTCGGCAGGCAGCTCCCTGAGCAGAGCACTCTGCCAGTCACAGGCTTGGTGCTCTGCTTCTGCTGTGATCCTCAGACAACAGAACTTACTTTAACCAGGGTGGAGGGGCCACTGACCTCACCAAGCCCTTCACTGCACAAGTTCGCAGATGCTTAAACTTCTCAGTGAATCCACACCCAACCCTATCCCTCTCCATGACCACCTTCCATGGCCATCTCCCTCTCCAACAGTGTGGCCAGGTGTTCCAAGACTCCCTGAGCTGCTCATTGTTCTGAAGTCTCCAGAATAGCTCAGTCTCAAACCCTACCTGCAGCAAATTCCCACAGCCAGCTGGCAGTTCCTGCAACCACAGCACTCCACAAGTCACAGGGTTAGTGCTCTGTTTCCACAATAATCCTCAGGCACTGGGGCTTGCTCATGTCAGGGAGGGCAGAGCCAAAGACCACCAGGTCCTTCACTGCCTGAGCTCACAATTGCTTAAATTTCTCTATGGGTCCACATCAGCCCCTCTCCCTCAAACCCTGCTGCTCAACAGACCCCCACTGCTGGCCAGCTAGCAGCTCCTGGAACCACAGCACTCCACCAGTCACAGGCTCATCGCTGTGTTCCTTAAAGGTTCCTAAGGCAATGAAACTTCCTCTCATCTGGTAAGGGAGAGTTGCTGACCACTGGGCCCTTCACTTCCAGAGTTCCCAACTGCTTAAACTTTTCACTTCACCCGTCAGACCCTCTCACTTGCCAAGATACTCTCTCATGGATATCTCCCACCAAAACACTGTGGGAGTGTTAAGTGTCCCAAGATTCCCCGAGTCTCAACTATTCTTTGGTTTTAAGTTCTCTGAGGAGCTCAGACTCAAAGAGTAGGCCCTCCCTCAATATGAAGCCTTGCTATAGCTAAGATAAAGGGAGCAAAAGAATGTCTTTCTTGTGAAGTGTTAGCCTGTCATGACAGCACAGTCACTGTCCCATCAAATCCCCACACTAAGTTTAAGGTTTTTAGGAAGTATGGGCATGTCTGGGAACTAGGTCTGCCAGTCTGTTGCTTACCTTGTGTCACCTTATGGTGGAGGCTTCAGCCCAGGGGAGCTAAGACTAGAGCTGCAAACTATTTTCCCAATTTATTCTATTGCCTATTTCTCCATGCTTTTAGCTGTCCTGTATCTCTTTTGTGGTTTGTAGTGTGCTTCCACTCTACTGAAATATAGTCACCTAGAGTTAGTTGCTTTTGCACCCCAGGGGCAAATGTCAAGCTAATAAAAAAGACAAATGAGGATTGGGAGTGTGGCTCAAGTTGACAGAGCACCTGCCTAGCAACTGTGAGTCCCCAAGTTCAAATCCCAGTACTGAAAAAAGAAAAAGAAAAAAGGGGGTAGCAATGATATCTTAATATTATTATGAAAATCTTTTGATCTCACAGATCACCCCCAAAAAAACTTAGGAATCTCTGGGGCTCTCTGGACTACGCCTTAAGAACTGTTGCCCTAAGGATACATAAAAAACTTTAGGCAACTGGAGTTCAAAACCATTAGAATTTAGAACAGAAAGGGAGGAAAAAAAAAAGCCTTTCTAATCTATCTTTAATTCAATTCTTTCGTTTTATAAATGAAGACCAAGGCACAGAGAAGATGGGATTTACCATCTCACACATTAATAAGCATACACGTTATCACTATTTAGGACTTCAGAGTTCTTTTTCATTATTTTTTAAATCATACTATTCCTTCTCTTTTTTCAATAACAGATTTACAAAATTCCACATTTTCCTTCTGCAAACTAAACAATGGCAGAAATACATACATTTTGTGGAGAAAAGAAGTTTATCTTTCCTAATGGAGAGTCAAGTTTTACAGTCTTTCTTGAAGCAACTTCTGCATCCAAATGGGGTACTTCCTTTTCAAAACAATGACGTTTTCTAATCTGTAAATACAGAATCAAAGTGAAATTTAATATAAACTAAAAATTTACATTTACTTTGACAAGCTAGTTGTTCTTAATGATCAAAAGAGATCTGTGTGTTTTTTCCTACTTGCCCTACAAAAAGGGATTATTTCTAACTGGCAATAGTCAAATATTTTTCTTTTTTTTTTTTTTTGGTGGGACTGGGGTGTGAACTGAGGGCCTCATGCTTGCTAGACAGGCACTCTATCACCAGCCCCATCAAATAATTTTTAAGAATACAAATAGGCACCTAATAACAGCATTTAAATGATAGTAAGAATTCTTGGATCGTAACCAAAGTAGTTTTAATTAGTGATGTCTCAGAATTTATAGTATTATAAAATGATTATCCCATGAAATAATCCCACCATACACACATCAAATACAGTATTATAGCAAAGTCCAATCACATTTCTAATTGGAAAATAAAAGTGTATCAATATGTAAGACTCTACCCTGATAAAAAACTATGAACAAAATTTTAATAGTCATGAGTTCCTACATTTTAGAACTGCTAAATCGATATTAATATTACCTACTAGACATGTGATAAATTATATTTGATTAAATTTCTCTTATAAATATCCCTAAATTTTCTTTCTAAACTTTATCCATGCTTTTTTCTACTTGTTAAAAATGTATTTACTTAAGTCTTATAGAGGGAATAAAGCATTTCTATGGCTAACTTCATTCCTAGCAAAAATGAAATAACAGCCTATGAAGTCAAAGAATAAATGTTTTACATTGTATCCTACTTCACAACAGCCAACTGTATGTATACATCAGACAGGAGAGGAGAGTCTCTAGATTCACACTCCATTTATATTTGATGCTTTTACAAAAATAAGCTAGTTCACTGTATGCCTTTGTTCTATTTCTTCTTTTGAGGGGGGTAGTACTGGGGTTTGAAACCCAGGCCATGCATTTACAAGCATTCTACCCATACCCCCAGCTCTTTTTACTTTAGTTTATTTTTCAAGTAGAACCATCTCCTTTTTTGTCTGGATGGTCTTGAACCATGACCCTCCTGATCTCTACCTATGCATAACTGGAATTATAGACACATATTACCACACTCAGCCCTGGTTTTTTCTATTTCTAAAAACAAGATTTAATTATAGAAATTAATTACTGAATGAACAATTACTAGATTTAACAAAAACAATTTGAGCATGTCCATTTAAAAGTACCAGATTACATGCATACAAAAGACATGCTAATTAATAATCTTTATTATTTATAACTCAGTCTAGTAAAATCTCATCTCTTCTACTTTACTGCCATGAATTCTAAGAATTCATGTGTTCCTTTATGAAATTTCATGTGCTCCTCTATGAAATAACATTTCAAAAGTATCTGGCAATTCATGTTTCTTCATAATTTTTAGGAGTATGTTTTGTCATGTACAAAGCTTTAAAGTTTAATAAGTAGCCAGTCACGGTGAGAGATGACTACAATTCTAGTTTTAGAAGCCTGAGGCTGGCAAATGGATGTTCAAGGCCAGCCTCAGAAACGTAGGAAGACTCAGTCTCAAAATAAAGTAAAAAGGGCCCAGGACGATAACTCAGTTGGAGGATGCTTGCCTAACATGTGCAAGGCCCTGGGTTCAATCTCCAGGAAAACACTCACACAGAGGAAAAAAAAAAAAAAAAGGGAGAAAGAAAGAAAAAGAAAAAAACTCAACAAAAATAAGAGTAAACACTGTCAGTGTACTAAATGTATCAATACAAAAAAAATCCGTAACATAAATATTCATAATAGCAAAGGTATTTTGGCCAAAAGGCCATTAGATAAAAAGAATGGAGGAATTTAAAAAATGCAAAGTTGCATATGCCTTTGCCTGAATATTTTACTACTGAATTCTCTTTCCATGTAAAAGCACCAGGCAGTTCCGCTTTAACAATATGCTATTGCAAATAACCCAAGTAACCGTATAAAATGAAGTTATGATAAATTACATTTATGACTATTGTAAAACCCAACTAATATCCACAAGTGCCAAAGAAAACTCGACTGATACCTTACTATTATATTCAGCTATAACTAAATGGATTATTTTAATATCAATAAACTGTTTACCTGCTGTGCAGATTCTAAGGGTCTAATTCTTTTCTTCTCTACTTGAAAATCATCATTTTCATCTCTGCACATAGATGCCTGTTTCTTGGCAGATAACTTTGCAGCCAGCGTGGTTTTTCCAGGAGAGTCTTATGTTAAAATATATATATAATATATGAAAATTAGCATAAATATACATTCACTTAGGCAATTTTTTAGAAGAAAACCAAGATGTAAGACATTTCTAAAAGTTCCATACCATAGTTTAAAAGATGAAATGCTAAGCACATTTTAAAAGCACTTTTTTACCACTTGGTTTACTTTACCAAAGATATGTGTTGAAAAACATACTTTTGATAGGAAACACCCAATTTTGACTTTTTAAAAGATTCTTGTTTTTTTTAGACTACTCCCAAACAACATGGATTAAGAAATATAACTGTAAGAGTCTCTGAAGACTCAAGAAATATTATTTCATTTCTATCAAAATCTCAATGGTCCTTTCCTTCATTATGCTCTTCAGGCTAAAAAATAATGATTCTAGAATCAAGCTCAAGTAATCTGTATTTTAATCCCACAATACTGAAAGTTTATTCTCAAGACCATCAACAACCTCTGAATTGCTGAATTATATTACTTTTCCCAACTTTACAAATGGGAACACTAGGTTTTAAAGAAGTCAAGAAACTTGCCCAATATCACCAGCTAGTAAGTGGCAAAGCTTAGATGTGACAGATCTGCTATCAGATTTAAAATCTAAAGTATAACCTCTAAGCACACTGTCAAATATTAACACCCTGTCTTCTTGTCTTTTTATTGGCAGCACTGGAGTTTGAACTCAGGGCCTTCATGCTTGCTAGGTAGGCACTTTTATTGATTGACACATTTCCTTTATCCTCAACATCTATAACTATTCCTACACATTGGTTTCTCCTTGTTCCTAAATGGGTATTCTGTGTGTGTGTGTGTGTGTGTGGTACTGGGGTGTGTGTGTGTGTGTGTGTGTGTGAGGGTTTAAATTCACACTTCCTAGGCAAATGCTCTACCACTTGAGCCGTGCCCTTTTGGTTTTCTTTTTCAGATAGGGTATTGTGCTTTTGCCTGGGCCACACCTCAGATTGTGATCTTCCTATCTCTACATCTGGAATAGTGGGATTATATGCATGAACCACCTTCTCCAACTTGGTTTTGTTTTTGAAATAGGGTCTCACTAACTTTTTTTTGCCTGGGCTGGCCTTAAACTGCAATCCTCCTATCTCCACCTCCTCAGTACCTGGGATTATGGGATGTACACCACCATACTCAGTCACATTTCTAGATGTTAGATAACAAATACAATTTTGAGCTCTTCAATTTCCAAGAAAAAACAATAAAAAAAACTACAATAAACCTATATTGGTGATTATCAACTGAGGCAATTTAAACAGCATTACTATCTATCCTAAAGATACTGGCAATGCAAGGTCAGATCCCACTAAAAAAAAAATTACCATACTCAAAATGTTAAAGTGCCAATGTTGAGAAACCCCATCTTATCAAAGAGCAAATTTGTACCAAGCATGGTGGTACAAGTCTATAATCCCAGCACATGGCAGACTGAAGCAGGTGGACTGTGAGTTCAAGATCAGTCTGGGCTTCTACACAATGAAACTCTGTCTCAAAAAAAACAGAAAGAGGATGGAACAAATTTGCATAGGCCACTGAAGGAGAGGTGCTGTCTATCAAAAACAATAGTTTTAGAAAAACTGAACTGCCATGTACTAATTAGAGTAACTCCAAGAAAACAAAAGTCACATTTTCATGGCATGGAAAAAGGCTTTTTACCTTCCTATTCTTTATTGGCGGGGAGGTGTTACAAGAGGTTCTTAAAAGGTGTTAAGTCTTTTTATTGGCAGCACTGGAGTTTGAACTCAGGGCCTTCATGCTTGCTAAGTAGGCACTTTTACTGATTGAGCCACCCTACTACTCCCAGTGGTAAGTCTTTAAAAAGAAGTGCGATAGCTCCAAAATATGCTATTTAAAAAAAAAAAAAAACCTCCTAAAAATTGGTAAGATACAAACCAACAGAAAAATGGATAAACAACTTGAATGGGAAATTCACTATAGAAGATACTCAACAGACTCTAAAAGAAAAATCTAGGGTTGGGGGTATAAGCGCAAGAGGTAGACCACCTACTTAGCAAGAGCAAGGTACTGTTCAAACCCCAGTACCACCCAAAAAAAAAACCTGAAAAACCTTCAAAGAACACTCAACCAAAAGACTCAATACAAAAAAAGAGGTGGAGGCAAGTGGTAGTGCACCTGCCTAGCAAGTGTGAGGCCAAGTTAGCATGTACAGAGCCAAGGGCTCAATCTCCAACACCCAAAACAAAATAAATAAATAAATAAATTTAATTAAATAATTTCAGAGAAATTAGATGAAGATAACCAATTATGATAACTACATTTATCTGAATTAGATTTAATAACACTAATAATTTAGGTTCCAAATGCAAATACCAACAGATCTAGACAAAACAAAATTTACCTTGAGAAGTTGAAGAAATGTCATTTTGTTCAGAAGGTGCTGTGCTTGGACTGCTGAAATGACGTGATATACCCAGGCTTGTGTCACAATATGTAAAATTCTTTGAATGGCATGCACAACAACATGTCACGCTTGACAAAGGTACTTCAGCTTTTTTATTTAGGCCCTCCTCCACTGGCTTCCCTAAAAATGAAAGAAACTCTGTTTATAATACCTCTAATCGAATAAATATCAATCTTTCTCTGAAGCTAGGGTGGGCAACCACCTCAGTTCACCCAGGGTTGGGGAGTTTCCCAGGATGCAAGATTTGGGGAGTAGAAGGAGGCTAACACCAGGAAAACACTATACCTGGGATACCTGGACAAGCTGGCCACCCTATCTACAGCATCAAATTAGTCCAGGAGAGAAACACTTACACCACAAACATGAAGAGAGAAGCTATTATCATTTTATGTAATTTACAAAAAAACGTAACAATCAAACATTAATGATGTAATAGACACAAGCGCTTCAGTACTCATTTATATTGAGATTTGTTAAAAAAAATCAAGGAGAAAGGATTGAAACAAAAATGTAAAGTATATTCTTAATTATAGCTATTACCCTAAAAGAGTTTGAAGTTCAATATCCTAAGTAACAATGTAAACACATAAGGGTTAAATCATTCCACACATTATACTTCTACTTCAAATAGAATAACGTTGTATGACATACAAATTCCGACAAAGTAAGTTTGCCTTAATGGCAGATTTTATCACATGCAGTTTTGACCAAGTGTGATCAAAAACGTCAGCTGGGAGAGGCAACTCATCCCTATAATCCCAGCTATTCAGGAGATAGAGATAGGGTGTATTGTGTTTCAAAACAACTCAGGGAGAAAAAGCTGGTAAGACCCTCCCCATCTCAATTACTAAGCAGGATGTGGTGGCATATGCCTGTGATCCCAGTTAAACAGAGGTCACAAGTAGAAGCATCCCAATATGAGGCTGGCCCCAGGCAAAAACATTAAAACTATCTAAAAAATACATAAAGCAAAAAGGGTTAGCGATATAGTAGGCCGCTTACCTTATCTTAGCAAGCATAAGAACCTGAGTTCAAATCACAGTAATACCCCCAAAAATTTCAAAAACAAAAAATTTTTAATTCCTGTACAAATGTTACACAGTCCAAAGCTGTCAGTTGTTTAAATCATTGTGTGATCTATTTCCCTACCCCGAATTCTGCGAAAATATGCCTTACAAAAAAGCAAATGGTGCCCAAGAAGCAAGATAAAAGTTAATGTGCTTAATTTAAGGGATAACATGACAATTTTAATTTGTCAAAAGGCAGCATGTCTTTAGGGGAAGCTGGATGTTTGGGAAAAATCAAACATTCACCATACAGTACAGAACTCTATGCATCCTGAACATCTGCAGTTTTTCCTCAATGACAGTGTCCTTGAAACCAAATACCTTAGATACTAAGAGCCTACCATACATGTATCAAAATAAATTTTAAGGCCAATATTCAAACTCAATAGGTCATTTTGATACCTAAACAAAATACAGAATTGTAGTATGTACACATTGTGTGCCCATAAGGTATGTGTGTCTACATATACACTCACACACACACACACACAAAATTCACATACATTTAAAAAACTAGGTCAGGGCAAGATATGGCGGTACAAACCTATAATTTAGAAGGCAGAGACAGGATAAATCAAAGTTTGAGGCCAGCCTGGACTACATATAGTAAGATCCTGCCTGAGGGCCTGGTTCAAGTGGTAGAACTAAATAATTTCCTTTTTTAAAATCTGTTTACTCAATTGTACCATGTAAATATCAATACTATTTTCCATACAGCTGCCATTAAAATTTTAAGTTATAAACTAATAGTCTCATTTTCCCCAAAGACTAAAAACAGTAAAAATCAAAATGGACAATCAAAACCTACAAAATATTTATTTTTATATTTAAGACTTTCTTATCAGTAACACATTTTCTTTTAAAGAGTGCTGGGATTACAGACATGCACAACAACACCAGGCCTGTATGTTTTCTTTTTTATATATTCCATATTCTAGTGTTATGAGGGTCAGATAAACAAATGTATTAAAGAATTTACTCAATAAAATCAGCAATTAGTATATGTATTAGCATCATGAAAGCCTTCTTTCTTACATCTTTTACATATAAATTATCATCTTCTTTTCATAATAGATCTAAGCATCCAAAATGATCATGTACTCTCTGAATGTGGAAGTAAAAGATTAAACTATGTTAACATTTGAGGATTAAACATATTCTGCTACACTGAAATTCCATTTGGAAGATATAACTTATCATAAAGAAACACCTTAGAGACTGGGGCCGTGGCTAAGGTGTTAGATCGCCTGCCTAGCAAGTATAAGGCCCTGAGTTCAAACCCCAGTACCACCCAAAAAAAAAAAAAAAAAAAAAATTCTTAAGGGCTGGGGGCATAACTCAAATGGTAGAATGTTTGCCTAGCATGTATGAGGCCCTGAGTTCAAACCCAGTACAACCAAAAAAAAAGTCTGAAAAGAGAATGGTTAGGCTGTATATGTGCAAGGTCTAGGGTTTAATCCCTGGCACTGAAAAAAAAAAAGAGAGAGAGAGAACATTTAAATTAGCAGTAGCTGGCTTACAGGTGTGAGCCTAGCTACTTGGGAGGCTAAGATTGGGAGGACTGTGGTTTGAGGCCAGCCCAAAAAAATAGTTCACAAGACCCCATCTCCAAAAGAACCAGAGCAAAATGGACTGGAGGTGTGGCTTGAGTGATAGAACATCTGCTTTCCAAGGACAAACCCCGAGTTCAAACCCCAGTCCCACTTAAAAAATAAATTACCTAGAACTGAACTAGTCTGGATAAAGAGTACTGTATTATATTTTTTTTAGGGCCAAATAAGCAGCCTGAAGATAGCAAGCAACTACTTACCACTAAGAGATTGCTGCCATGCTAAAGCAGAACAAAGTAAGGCTAAGCTTTTTCCACTTCCTGTGGGGCTCTCCAACAAACAATGCTGCCTACTGTTTAGTCCTCTGACAATCTATGGACACAAAAACCAATTTTAAAAAAATCAGTAAACATTTTTCCTTATAGGTCTCTCTCCATCAGAAGTACAAATAGAACAACAAGGAAAAGTGAAGCTGTACTCCAGGAAACACAATAATAGCAGTAGGAAGAACTAGAATTTAGTTAAATCTACACTTTATTCCTTTACACTTTTCCCTAAGATTACATTGGATATACAAGCTTATAAAGCACGAGAAGAAATGAAAAGAACAATGTGTTGTAATTATACAAGCACACAATCATTTCTGTAAAATTAGAATACACTAATACCTATAAATACATATGATGAAAACTTAATGAAAGATAAGTCTTAGTGGGAATACAAACTGTTTACAATCACCTTGTAAAAAATACTAACCATTTCTAGTAAAGCTGAAGATGTCCAACTCCAGCATGGCAGTCCTATGTATATACCCAAAACCTTTTCTACATGAACACAAGCAAACATGTATAAGAAAGTTCATGGGTGACTAGCAGAATGGTTCAAGTGGAGAGCACCTGTCTAGCAAGTGCAAGGCCTTGAGCTCACTAATTGCAAGAAAATGTTAATGATCTAAATATCCAAGGACAGAAATATGGTCAGATAAATTATGGTATATTCATACAATGGGATGTCATACCACAATTAAAATGGCTTAACAATCAACAAGACTACATCTTAAAAATAACATTAAGTCAAGCCCAGCTCAGAAGTTCACACCTGTAATCCTAGCTTCTCAGGAGGCAGGTATCAGGAAGATCAAAGTTTGAGGTCAATCTAGGCAAAAAAGGTTCATGAGACCTCCATCTCAACCAATTAAAAAAAAGCAAGGTGTTGTGATGTGTGCCTATCACCTGTCATCCCAGATACATAGGAAGTATAAGTAGGAGAATCACAGTCCAGGCCAGGCTGGGCAGAAATGTGAGAACCTATTTGAAAAATAACTAAAAGCAAAAAGGGCTAGGGGCATGACTAAAGTGGTAGAGCATCTGCTAGAGGGTGTAGCACAGTAGTAGATGCTTGCCTAGCATCACAAGACCCTGGTACTGATCCCTATCACTGCTGAAATAAAAACAAGCTCTACAGAAGGATAGGTATAACATTATATACACACAAAGTTTAAACTAGATTGTTTATGGATATAAACATATGTAGCAAAAGTATAAAAATATAGCTGGGAAAGACTAAATGTAAGATATTAATAATAATCTAATCTGAAGTAAATATGACAAAATATTAAGATTTAACAAGCTGAAAAGTTGCTTTACTCAAACTTATACATTTGTTTCAGATATGGCTAAAATACAACCAACTCTCCATATCCATGGGTTCTATATTTGTAGATAAAACAAACTACAAATTGAAAATACTCAGAAAAAGAAAACTTACATCTGTACTGAACACACAGACTTTTTTTGTCATTATTCCCTAAACAACTATTACATAGCTATAAATAATAACTATTGCATAGTATTTACACTGTATTAGGTATTATAAGTAATTTAGAGATGATTTAAAGTACACAGGAGGTTAAGTATACGATAAGCACAAATGCACATGTCACATTTTATGAACGTGACATGTGCATCTGCAGATTTTGATATCCAAGATAGGTCCTGGATTTTTTTGATCCCCCAGGATCAAAAAAAATGGTGAGAAATATAGTAGTGTGTGTAAAAGATAGTAAAAGCTTATAGAAAGCAGGCATTCATTAAAGAAAATAAAACTTCTAAATGAACTGAGGCCATTTCTCAGAATGTCTTCCTCATATCAAAACCATAAACACAGTTGAGCAGTGATCACTATTTCTTACCTGAAAGTTAGATGTTCTTTCAAATGAATCCAGCAAACATTCTCAACCCATTTGCTATCAATGTATGTTATGGATGATAAGCATCTGTATTGTAATAAAGATATAACTGCTGGAGAATACTTACAGAATTCATCATGGCAAGCTGTGAGGGGTAAGCTTTACAAGGAAAGTGAATCTTCACCCCCCCAATTATGTATTCAGCCCTTGATGACATCCTGCTTTGTTTTTACTTCAGATTCCTAGCTGCAATAGAAATGAAAATCAATATAGAAACAATGCAATTCAAAGAAAACCAGACACCTAACAATATGACACAAGTCTGGAAATCACAATTGGAATCAGTAAGTGAATAAACAAAATAAATCACAGTGGTCAAGCACACATTTTGGAGTCAAACAAATCTGGATTTGTACTCCCATTTCACCTCGTATTAGTTGTGTGACTTTGGGCAAGTTACTTAACTTTCCTAGACTTGTTGTATCCTCATGCAGAAAATAAGGATAGTAACAAAAGGACTGTAGTAAAGAGTAAATGAAATAATGTATAAACATGATACAGTATATGCCAGATTAAGCATGAGCTCTTGTAACACTAGATTAGACATGATCTACAGAAACAAATGGTCAACTCTTTCCAAGTCTGTTACAGCATTCTTTTTCTCCTATTGTGCACCTTCACCTTCCTACTTCCCATTTGTGCAATCCTCCAATTACAAAGAAAAGGGGTCAGGAAGCATAAGCTCTAGGTTAGATTTAGAAAAGGGTCTCAGATGTTACTTTTGACATGTCTTTTCACTTCTCTGGTGGTCTAAGATCCTTATCTGCAATAATCCCTGACTTAAAAACTGTTCTAAGGAAGAAAGTATCTTGGTACATGGCAGGAGCCCAATAATTCTTTAAAAGTTAGTGAAACATAATGGAAAGGAGATGGACTTCGGAGTAGGGCAAATCTAAATTTGAATTTTACTGTGTGAATTGCTTAACCTCTCAGGCCTTGTTTCTTTATCTAGAGAACTGAGACAATACTACATACCTGATGGGGTTTTTATGAAAATGTGGCTAACACAGGATCAGACACAGGAGTGGGTTCACTGTAATCCTCGCCTCTTCTAACAACTTTTTTAACCTAGGATCCATGGAGGTAATTCTTAAAGTCACATACAGAAGTTTCTGTGTATCGTTGCCTTTTTCTGAAGAGAAAGTCCATAGATTTCTCTTCCCATAAATATATCCTGAGGAAATCAAAAGAGGGGAAATGATATATACACTTGTATCAGCTGGGGAATTTTTGCAATAGCGAAAAAAATGATAAATTCAATCTGGAAACCGAGATGGCTAAAACAGTAATTCAGAAGATGAGGAAGCCAGTAATAACTTTACCCACAGTTTGAGGGTTGGAAAATAAGAACCAGTACTCTAGGGTCCCTTCCGGTTCTACAAATGATTCTCCCGAGTCGAGTCGAACCTCCTGGTCTGAATCGAGAACTCCAGGCTGGCTACGAAAACGCAGGCTAGGTATCGGCGGAGTGGCTAAAGTGGTAGAGCGCCTGCCTGGCAAGCGTTAGGCCGAGTTCAAACCCCAATGCCGACCAAAGAAAAATCATCAAATGCAAGCTAGAAATCACGCCCTCCGCCCCAGCGGCGTCTCAAACCCCCGCCTCGGGGAACGCGGGCCCGCGCTCAGGGCGGCGACGGTCCGCCCGCCACGGCTGCTCCCTTCCCTTCCCGCGACTTCGCTCCACTTGCCAGGGCCCAGCGCAAGCGGAGCGGCGCAGGGGGAAAGGAAATGCTGACTCCTGAGCAGAAACGACACAAGCCTGAGTCGTCCCGCTGTTCCTCACTGAGCAGCTACTCTCCCGCCGCGATCGCCAGTACGCGGCCGCTTTCCTTTCTCTCCGTTCTAGCTCTCTCAGTCCACTCCGCAGTCCGAACAAATTCCCGCCTCCCACCCCTCGGCTCCGCAGCTGCCAATCGCCCGTCAAGAGGAGAACGCAATCAACCAATCCTAGCGAGAGGCCAGACAGAGCGCTCTAGCACCCAATGGGAGCCTCCGGATTGAGGCCAGACCTTGGCGGCACCGGAAGGCCTTCCGGCAACGGGAGCTCGCTGAGCACATTTCGGGGGGTTACGTAAGGGAAAAGAGACTTTTCTGTTTCAAACTGGCGGTAGAACCCAACAACAGCTGGTATAATACCTGAGAACAGAATCCTCCAGAGAGATGCTCTTCTATTTATATCAAGACAGAAGTAGGCTTTCTTCTTTTTGCAGGACGTACAACTCAGTTTCCCAGAACCTAAAGGGATTACTCATGCCCTCAGTTCTGTTGCCTAAATTGGCCCAAAGGCAAAACCTGAGACAGGTTTTCTAAATTCAGCTAGTTTGGGGAGAGAGGGTTGTTGGGCAGGGGAGGGCAGAAGACTAGTTGATTTGTTCGCCTCAGTTTCCCTTGTTTGACTACATCTTCCTAAAATGGTAAAACCTGTCCTAAACAAACATTCTTTCCTTCTGATCTCAGCCCCAGAAATTTATCCTAAAGACATAATCTTTAAAAAAAAAAAAAAAGTGGCAATGCCTCAATTACCAACAGTGCTTACCTGTAACTAACATTGAAACAAAATCATAAAGTCCCCCAGTTTAGCAATAAGGAAATGGCCCGGATGTACCAATTCAATAATTATGAAACCAATAAAATTATTATAAAAAACTGCTTGCAAGAAAAACATTCCATGTAGTATTAAGTGGAAAAAAAGCAGACTCCAAATCGGGTAAGAATTCAGTAATGTGGTAACATATGGATAAGCAAAAAAGAGTCATTTACTGTTAAAACAATGGAATGGATATTTTATTTAAAAAATAATAAATCCTTTAAAATACTTGCAGGTCTTTTACAGTTCATCAGTGCTGGAGACTGGACACGGGGCTTGAATGATACTCAAGTGCTCTACCACCAAGCTACACCTCACCAACCCCTTAACAGTTTTTTTAAAACATCAAATCTTTTACTGCTCCAAAGAACTACTCATTTTCCTTGCCTCAGTTCCTAATGAGGCTTTCAGTCAACTCTAACTTACTGTCATTTAATGTATGGCATAACAGAAAGGGATACATGCAAACCCTGGAACTAGACAGTCCTGCACTGCAGTCCCTTGTACTGTTTCTTTCAGGTTAACGATAGTGGAATGAAACACAAAAAAACTACAACTCATTTGATAAAGAATATGAATGTTTATAAATCAATATTCAAAATAGTTGCACACATCTGTTTTCACTTGAATAAAAAAAACACAGTGACAAATTTTATAACCTTAACTTAAAATACATAATATTAACATTTACTAATATATTTACACATTTTATTTACATCATCAACAAACCTGATGAAAAACAGCATATGTTACTATTTTTAACACAGCAGGTTTTGACAAATCTTTGAAAATTGATCCAGGAAATGTGGACTGCAGTTCATTAAAAAACATACTTCAACATTTTCTGAACTCCTACACAATACCTATTCACAGAATATATTCCAAGGCCTCAGTTTAAAAAAAACAAAACAAGAGCAGCTGTATTTAATGTTAGAGTACAAAACTGCCTTGTTTAAAAATATGAAATTCTTATGGTATTGTTAAGCATATTCTTTTAATCTTCACATCAAAATTACTTAATTGAACATTAAGCATCTACTAAAAAGTTATAAATATTCTATCACACATGATACTATGCACTTCATGATTGGAAACAGCTACAAACTAATTTTTGTAGAATACCTTTATGAGGTAGGGCCAGTAGTAATCCCATTTTACAGAGAAGGAAAATGAGATGTGACTATTTGCTAGTGTAAAGGAAGAAGTTAAATTTCTTTAAAAACTTTATTAGCTTGCCTAACTTCTTTTACAAATGAAGAGGTCTGTCTGTTTTAAGTTGGGGGGAAATGTGACTGAGGTATATCTCAGAGAGCAAAGAGAAGTACCTTTTACATTGGATACTTAATTTTTAAAAAATGATTATGGGTTACCTGAATGCATCTACCTAATCAATAGACGTTACTAACTACAAAATCCTTCAGCAATACAGTATTTTCCATGTTTTTCATTTTTCCTGAGGTTCAAACACTGTATATATTTTCCGACTCAAAGATCTTCTCAAAGTAAAATGTGAATTATAATCCTGATAAGCCAAGAGCTACTTAATCCAGTGGGCTTTATTGCTCTAAACTTCATTTAATTTGGTACATATTCACCCCTCTGAGATTTAGATAAGTCAATAAAGCATTATAAAAATAAATTTTAAAAAATAAAATAAATGAGACTTTCTTTCAGGTTCTTCTTTGCACAAAGATGTTTTTGTAGATACTTCTAAACCAGTATCTTAAATTCCAAATTATTCAACCTATGGCTTCAGGTATTAGTAAAAATTGAAGCAAATACATTACATCTTTAAATCCTCATCTGTAATTCCATGGAAATCATTGAAAAAAGATACTTGTCTTTTTTCAAAGCTTTCTCAATATCATTTCTTGACAATTAGAATTCCAACACTATTACTTGCATTGCAAGTATTTGACATTTTTATTTGGGCATCTAACAACTAATTTTTCCAGAATTCTCCCTTCCTTTGATCCCCTTTTTTCCCTCCAACTATTCCATCTTTGTTAAAAACTGCTAAAATGCTCAGTTTTACACTAGGGCTATCCATGCCCTCATTTTTGTAAGGAATTAAAGGCTGGCAATCTTTCTACATTTCAAGAGCTCAGTACAAGGCCAAATTACTTTTCCACTTACAAGTTTTCTAAATATGCTCCCAATGGGGGGGGGGAACCTTGGCTGCTACAATATTGATATACCAGCAAAGTAGATACTTCTGTAGATATCTACATGCCAAAGACATGCCAATCAAATGCAAGCAAGCATAATCCTCAGAGATCAAAACTGTATTCATGTTGAATTGAATCATTTCAGCAATTCAAAAATATTACTACTCCCATTCAGTTTAGTTGTTACAAGATGCAGATTCTTGTTGGGTATATGTAGGAAACAGCTTAATTTTTTTGTTTTTTTAATTCTTTTTTAAATTCCACTGACACTCATATTTATTATTTCAATTATTGTGCTTTCAATACAGTGACAAAGCTGTACATCAGGATCCATGCTTCCAGTGTCTCTGGAGCCATTTTTATGAGATGAATCTTTACAGATTCGAGACCATCCACTTGGTTTCTCCTTTATTTGTTGAAGGCCTAAAAACATAAGGAAAGAAAATTAAATTAAGGTAAGAAATTTGGCCTTCTTACATGAAACATTAAGATACGTCCTGAAAATGTGTTGTCACTTACGTGTAATAATTGGGTCAATGTCTCTTGTCTGAGTGGCAACATCTGAGGCACAAACTTGCCCTATTTGAATCAGCAAAGACATAATATCTTCATACAGTGGAGGAAATGCTCGACAAAAAGAGACTAAACTTGGAAGAGTTGGCATGAAAAAAGCATACCGCTTAGCTTGTGTTAAAACTGTTGGAAAGAAATGAAACAGAAATTTTTACATTGCAGATATACATTCAACATCAAACCCTATACAACAAACTAATACCATGCTCTAATGCAGATACTAAGTCTTCTAAGACACTGCCCACATCTCTCTTTAGATAACTCACAATCTAGCAGTCATTATCCAAGACAGAAATTTTTATTGTACTCAAGCACTGCATTGTTTAATTAGTTTTATGAATGAGGAAAGTACTATGATGACACCCGTTTTATACATGAGAAAATTCTTAAATAAACCTTAGAGAGGTTAAGATACATGTTCCAGGTCACACAGCAATTAGTGGTGAAGCTGGGACTGATGTTGGCAGTATAAAGTCTTAACCACTACAAAATTAATATAACAGGAAGAAAATACAATGGAAGGAAAAATAAACAGTATTATGGGAATACTGAGAAAGAATACTAAGGTAACTAAGCCATAATTTAAAGGAATGAATATTATATCATGCATAGTTTTATATATGTATATCTGTGTATATTTCTTCTTTTGTCTGTGGTACTGGTGACTGGCCCAGGGCCTTGTACATGCTAAACAACCATTCCATCACTGAGCTGGTTAAAATGTTAAGAAACATTGTAGAACTTAAGGAAACAACTAATATATCTAAGTCTCCTTTGTACATGTGATATTTTCCTAGAACTCTAAGCATTTATAATCATAATTTAATTTCTACTGACATAATTATATTCACAAAGTAGATTTGATTTCTATTTATAAGATGTGGAAAGCTTATTATAGTCACTATAAGTCTATCTTGAAATGTAAGATATAATTTGCCTGCCTATTCTTTTCTTCTACATTAAAACGTTTTTAATTAGAAAAATTCTCAAAGAATAATAATTCAAAGATGGAGTAAGGTAAACCAGTGGTGACACATATTGTGTCACATTGTCTCCCAGCAACATGAAAAACTACTGAGTCACTAAATTCATAAAATATATGCACTAACTTATGTTAGAAGTTTTGTACTTGATGTTGGTTGACTACATACCTGTCAGCAAAGTTCCCATGACATTGACAGCCAAGCGAGCCACACTAAGTGACTTTGGTAATGCATACTGGATACACAAGTGTGAAAGCAACTGGATAGCAAATATCTATAATGAAAAATCTGTATGTTACAGCTTTCTCAAGAAAATTTTAAGTATTAAAAGTTATAAAGATTTTATATAATCACCAAATATTAAAGAGAAATAAAATTTTTCTTAAAACTGCAAAATGCTTATTACCTGCTTTTCAAGTTCTGGCTGTGCAATAAGTTCAGGTATGAAATCGAGGCAGATGTGCATAGATGGAATACCTGCAACTGTCAGAGGCAAGAGTTCACATGGATAACCCTATGTCAACAAGAAAGAGGAAAAAGGTGAGAAATAAAATAATTAGAAGTCAAATGCAGCTAAAAACATAAATGAAGTTTTCACTTACTTTCTATAAAAATTGCCCCTAAGGCTACAGTGGATATACATGTATCCCAGCATTTCACTTTTCTGATGCATTCGAATACAGATAATTTGCTTGAACACTTTATTAGATTGAAAAAATTCTTAAAAGTTTGGGTTTTTCTCCACTGCAAAGGGCCAAGATCATTTGTATTACCTCTCATTTTTAAACGATCACTGTTAAATTTTTTGACAGTATTGGGGTTTGAACTCAGGGCCTCACTACCTTACAGGTAGGCACTCTACCACTTGAGCCACTCTCCCAGCCCTGTTTTGTGTTGGGGATTTTTGTGAACTATTTGCCTGGGCTGGCTTCAAACCCTGATCCTCCTGATTGCTGCCTCCCAGGTAGCTAGGATTATAGTGTGAGCCACTGGTGCCCAGCGATCACTATGATTTAGTATATAAACCTCCAAAGAAAAATAAAGTTCAACCATAAAGCATCATTCTTTAAAAACCCACCTGAAAGTGAACAAGTTTAGCAATATTGGGATCTGCAATGTACATTTGGTGCAAGAGACAACAGACAAGGCACTGAACTTCTCGAAGGTTACAGAGCAGATTGTCTTCTCCGTCCTCCACTTCCATATTTGGAGTGCCAGTGGTAATAATACTTTGAACATTCCTTAGCAAGCTGTCTGGATTGATACCTTTTGCTTTCTCCTCTTCAGTAGGTAAACAAATCTCTAAGAGTATCTGGACAGCTGCACTATCCTGCAAGTAAATAAAACATACTGAATGTAAGAAATTTCTGAAAAGTTCATATAAAAAACAAATCTGATTTTCATTTCACAAGAAATAACAAATAACTAGTTTCTTTAAAAACATACATACAGCAAAATGGTAGTTCTTACAGGAGAAATGAGTAATTTATAGTGCAGTAAGTCTCACTTTTTCAGGGTTATGAACCCCTTAATCTGAATAAAATTATATATCCTCCTTCCATAAAAATTAACATACTCAAACATATTGTGTATTTCAAGGAGGTCATGTATCTCTAAGATAGATCCACAGATTTCAGTTATGACCAGCTATTAGAAGAATACTCCAATTCAGTGACACCCAAAACAGGCCCTAGGCAAAAATGACTTCTACCAGAATTTCCCTTCCTTCCTCTTAATCTCCAGCTTTCCCAGAATCCTGTCCTATATGTTCCTCTTTTTCTCAGTGACATTTCATATAAGAGTAGCTTAAGGGATGATTTACTTGAGGTTACTATATATGAAGAGCTACAATCACTGTCACATAGCAAGAAAGAGCTAAAATCAGAGAGAAAGAATATATGACATTCATCTCTGAAAGCCAGTCATTGCCTGGAGTAGAAGAAAACAAATACTTCATCTAAATGTTTAAGAACATGAAAATTATAGAATAATGCTAGTCTTAATTTACAACTTGTGCCTGGGGTTAAAAGGTTACTAGTGCTTATTTTGATTTGTTTTGTTTTGACTTTATTTGTAATCTCTGGAGCCAGAATCCTAACATGGCTGTTTACTAAATGTGTAACCTTCAGCAAATCACTTAACCTGAGTCTTATATTCCTAATCTATAAAATGGAGATGATAATACTCTGCACTTCATAGGTTGATTATAAAAATTAAATGAGTTTATACATGTAAATAACTTAAGAGTAGCACCCAGCATATAGTAAGTTTTATAAAAATGCTAACCATAATGATCCATGATCCCTTAACCTAATTCTTATGGCAAGACTTATTTTACAACTCAGAATTTTCTTTAATGTAATATTATGTAATGCCTCCAGCAGAGAGGGAGGCAGCACTTTTTTACTTCTACAGAAAAAACATACCAATATTCACATTAGTTGAGATAAAGATAAGAAATAGTGTCACATTAATTCAGGTCAAGTTTTCTCACCAAATGAGTTCACATCAGGTCAAGTTTTCCTGCCAATTGAATTATAGTTTTCATGATTTTTTGGATTTCTACATTACAGATAAAGGATTGTGAACATTATTACTACTAATTCCTCTTACTACCAGTGAGAAGATTTTGGAAAATATGCTTCAAACTATGAAAACATTTTTACTTTGAAGACTTTGAACTGCTTAACATTTTATCATTTCCCATCTCCTGAATTACTCAAAAATTACTACTTAGGCTTCAATGACATTCTACATTATTATAAAAGTTCTTCAAATACAAAGCTGAACTGCTCATATTATCATAGTATTTATCAATGCCTAACATTTTTCTGTTTATTATCTGTCTTCAACATCTGATTTTTTTTTATCATTTGATCTTAAATAAATAACCAAGGATTTTGTCCTTTTCACCATTGTATACCCAGGCCCTCAAACAGTATTTGGGACACAGCTATCCAATAAATATTTTTTAATTGAGTGAAGATATAACTATAATCTCAGAACTTCTAGGTCTTATATTTTGTTAAAATATAAATCTATCTTAAATGGCTATTAAGCACCAAAGAGAGGAGAAGTGATGAGAGACAAAGGCTGTCACCCTGTGTCTATAGCCCACACCCCTTCCCAGCCTCCCTCAGGACCTTACTACATGCTGTCACATGAAGTTCACAGACCCCCTTTTTCATTATAAAGAAAAATCATTTTGATGCCACAGTCATGCGTGCCATCAGATCAATCATGCCATCAATCATCAAACTATCATGCCATCAGGGAAGGGAGTGGCCTCTTCCCTGGCATTTCTCTTGCACTCAATGTGGCCTGACTGGTCTGAGTCATCAGAGTCTCACACTGCTTCTGGGGCCTGGTCCAGGTGCCATTTGGACCACCTTCAACCTATCACTAAGCCCCCATGCTAGGAGCTGACTAAAGCCTTCATGAGTACACACATTCACCCCCTTAGTTGGGATCAGATACAGAAATTGCTCCAGGGCCCCACACTGCCATTCCAAGTTGTCTAAGCTACACATATCACAGAGACAGTATTGTCTGGTGGTAAGAAGTGATAAAAATTGACTTAATATTTGCCTGGCAATGGTATTGCCATGTAGTATAAAACTTCCCTCTTCATTGAAATCTCTTCACAGCACAGAGAAAGGTTTGAGTCCAAGTGTAAAAATAGGAGTATTTCAGGGTTAACATGAGGGGCTTTCAATGTGACAAGAACAATAAGGGAAAACACTTGAGTGTGGTGAATGGGAATTTAAGTAGAAAGGTCCTATGCTAGCACAGGCAAGAGGGCCTGTTCCCTGGCCCTCATAGCAACCAGAAAATATGTGATTTGAGTCCTAGGATTGCTTTGTTTTGTTTTTAAAGAAAGATGAGATTGGCATGGTTCTGCATGAGCAAATTTCATATAATTTATTTTCCTTTTTCCTTGCTCCTTTTATTTTGGGAAAGAAAGCTCCACTGTACAATACTGGGGGCATATAGACTATCTCTGGCACTCAGCTTACAGAAATAAATGTGTTGTGTTTTCCAATAAAAAAAAGTCTATTCTTGGATTATTCCTGATAATCAGAGAGTCTATCTGATATTCAGAAGGAAAAGTGACATCATTATAATAGATTCTATAATAAAAAGAATGTTTAATATGTCACCTATGTACGTAGAGGTCATAATGTACTATTTAATTGATTATGTTACTAGGGAATGCCTTACACTTTTGACTAAATTTTACTTTAACAAAAGTTACCTGAGCAGCCAGCAATGCATTTTTCAATTCTTCTCTAGTAACTTCTGGTGCATCAGTTTGTCCAACTAAACCTACTGTATTATTCTGTGGAGACCGATCCTGCTCTGCTGTTTCCTTCAGATGAGCACTAAGGTATGCTTTAGATGCTAGAAGATATCCATTCAACATGTGTAGAGTAATGTCCATCAGTGGGGGGCATCTAAACAAAGAAAGAAAAATATATGAGAACAAATATAAATTTATAAATTAGTCAGAAGATCATCAATCCAGTTTAAATAATTAGGAAAACCTGAATAGCATATGGTAGTAAACTTTGCCACTGAAATATTTATTTTCAAAATAAGTTTAATATGTATTTCTAATTTTCTTTAATTCAAGATTATATAAATAGTATTGTCTTATCAGCCAAAATAAAATGTAAGATTTAGAGAAAAGATGCTCCTTTTTGGCAGTACATCTTAGACATGAGCCTCAAAGCAGCTGTCCTCACAGAGGATGAGATGCAGACTAGAACAGATGATTTATCCTTTCCACTCCTACTTCTTCTTTAGAGCAAGACAATTCTGTACTCCAAGAGCGCTTCATCTCTTAATTTGGGGAAGTTACTTAATGAGCCTCAGTTTCTTTCTCTACAAAATAGGTACACAGGACTAAATTGAAATGAAATAAAAAAAGATAAATAAAACAGGGCTAGGGACATGGCTCAAGTGGTAGAGCGCCTACCTAGCAAGCATGAGGCCCAGAGTTCAAAGCCCACTATCGCCAAAAAAAGAGAAAAAGAAAAAAGATAATCAGTAATCACTACAATTTTAAATGTCATGCCCTTGGAAAAAAAACCAAATTCCACATCTCAGCCTTTATCACCAAGAGAACTGCCAAGTATGCCAGACATTATAGCTGTATTTATAATGGAAACATCGAAAATACAATAAATGTCCACCTACATATTAACAGCTAAAAAAAAAAGTACAGCAATTCTACCCAAAATTGAAGATAAGAATCACCTTGAGTGCTTATTTAAAATTAAAAAAAAATCTCAGGCTGCAACCCAGATATTCTTTCTAGAGGAAAACTCTGGTAACTTACCTATGGAATACTATGTAGCTGTTAGAACAAACGAAGTAGAAATATACATTCTAATATGGAAAACATATTGAAAGTAGTTAAGGATTCAGTTTTTTAAAAAGAACAAAATAATACCTATAATACTACTTTTTTGTGTACAGTTTTTTGTTGTTGTTGTTTTTTGCAATGCTGGAGGTCAAATTCAGGCCTTGTGCATGCTAGGCAAACACTCACTCGGCCACAGCGCTACATCCCCAGCATATGTTTTTTTTTTAAACCACCCAGAAGAAAAAATAATTCTATTCATGAATTTGTAAGTGGATGGAAAAATAAAACTATGCATATACCATTGTATATATTCCCCTGGAGATGAAACTGGCCAATAAGAAATTTGGTTTTATCAATACCAATATCAGAATGACAGAGATGAGAGCAGGACTTCTCCCTTTACATTCTTTCTTGTATGTTATGAAGTGTATACTTACTAATATATATTATTAAAAGCTTCATACACACAAAAAACAAAAGAAATATTACAATTAATCCCTAAGAACTTATCAGCCAATATCAACAGTTGTCTACAAATGGCTTGTCACGGTTCGGGTATATCCCTACCCAAATTCCTACCATCACCACTGAGCTAATTCCAAAAGCAAAAATTAACAAACATTTTATATATGTGTATCTTTTCATTGTATAATTTCTCTCAAAACCATGAGAATGATTGTTTGGTAAAAATTTAAATTAATTTTAAAAAATGAAAAAAGTTAAAAAGCAAAACAGTAAGGCAATAAAGGAAAAACTATAGTGCTGGAGAGTGTAGCTCAAGAGTAGAGGGAGAGCTTAGCATGCTTCAGACTGTAGGTTCAATTTTTTTTATACAACTTAAAACAGGAAAAAACTACAGTGTATGTTCAAAGAACTGATATCTTTCAGATGTATTTATAGATAGACTTTATTGATGAAGAGCTCTTCAAATCAATAAAAAAGATAGGTTAAAAAAACAAACTAAACTATAAACAATAATGACCAATAAATATATTTAAATGTTTGATATAACAAAAATGGGAATTAAAACAAGAACCAATTTTTCACATCTACTATAAAACACAGTACAGAAAGGTACAACAAAGTATACAATATCAAATAGTGCAATGGAATGTAAACTGATTCAACTGAGCTCTCCAGAAGGCAGAATGAAAACAGAAATCAAAACTCTTAAAAATGAGCCTATTATTTTTGCCCTAATATTTCCATTTTTAGCATTCCATTCTAAGGTTCACAATGAATCAGGTTTGGGGTTTTTTTTCTGAAGTACTGAGGTTTGAACTCAAAGTCTTGCACTTCTTACACAAGAGATCTACCACTTGAGTCATACCCTAAGCCCTTTTTTGCTTTAGTTATTTTTTAGATAGGGTCTCACACTTTTATCCTGAACCAGCCTCAGACCATGATCCTCCTATCTTTGGGATTACAGGATTGTACTACCATATCCAGCTTGTTCTTTAAGACTAAGAACTTACTTTTTGCCCAGGCTGGCTTTGAATTGCAATCTTTCTATCTTCAATTCCCAAGAAGCTGGGATTACAGGCATGAATCACTGCACCCAACACGAGTGAGTTTTTTTAAAATCCTCTTTCAAGCCAGGCTTGGTGGTACATATCTATAATCCCAGCACTCAGGAAGCCAAGGCAGGAATTCTAGTTCAAGAAAGCCTGAACTACATAGCAAGATCCTTTCTCAAAACAAAATAAAAAAAATAAATTAAATTAAATCTTTTTTCAATATGCTAGCAGAAATAATGTTACTCTTTATTGATTTTGATTAGGAGAAAGAGAAGAGCTACTACCAAAACCAAAGAACGATACGTGGCTAATAAAACCAAGAATGACATTCCTCTAATGCTATAATCTATCAACCAAATATGAAATATTAAACTGAATATATAGTTCATGAAAACATACAACTACAAAATAAAAAAACCTGCAGAAATCACACTGCCTAGTTATTTGCAAAAACATTAAGATGAGTTTAAACTGAATTTCTTTCATTTCTTTTGATTCTCCAAAGTATAACTCTATATTTAAAACTGAAATTCAAATGACACATACCTGTGAACCCTGGGATCACACCTTAGCACAATGAGAGGATCGATCATCAGGTCATTCTGAGTATACTTTTGCTGTCGTACAAACTTTATGGAAGGCTGAAGTGAATTAACTGTCATTACCCACAGCCTGAGGAGAAAATCACATGTTCAAAGCACCTATATTATAATTGACATCTATAGTCAGCCAGTTCTTTTTATCTTGAAAAGTAAGTTTCAGAAAAAAAAATTAGAACACGGGTATGAATAACCTTTGAAAAATTAGGGGGTGAGGAATAAGAAAGAGTAGTGGAAGGAGTAAATTCAGTCAAAGTATATTATATGCACGTATGGAACTATCAAAATGAAATCCCTTTGTACAATTAATATATGCTAATAAAAAATTTAAAAATAAAAAATGAACTTTAAAAAATTAAAAACTATAGATATCCAACCTATTAATACAGCTCTAAAAAAGGTAAAACAGTAAACACAGTACTTGATCAGTGCATCAAGAATAAACACTAAAGCCACAGTTCCGCCATGCTTGCTGTATGAGTCTGTAAGTCACTGAGCCTGTCTCAGTTGTCCCCTCATATGTAAAAGGAACCAGTATGGTAACTGTAAGTGAAATAGTACTTACCAAAACACTCTGAAACTGTATCTAGCCTTATAAATGAGTCATTATTCTACATTTATTATCATAAAATCTCAATGTGAGATGCCACTTGAGATTAGACATTAATAGATTATAAAAGTGATTACTAAACTGACTACACAGAATTACTGAGGAATATGCTTATACAGAGGATACTAGATGTCTTATAACGAAGCCTATGAGTCTACCAGTTCCACCTTACACATAGGACTTCCCACCTCAAATGAGTGAGTGAAGAGCCAAGAATCATAAGACTTTTGTAAAAAGCTTTCACTTTGAAAAAGACTAAAATGTCCAAACAGGAAAAGAAAAAAAACAAACCAATTAAAAAAAAAAATACAAGTGAAAAGGAAAAAAAAAACCTTTTCTTTTTTAGACAGGGTCAGGCTAGTCTCAAACTCTCAATTCTCCTGCCTCACTCTCTTCCTAGTGCCAGGATTATACCACATCAGCCCTTTAAAAATATTACTGCTTGGGACTGCAGACATGACTCAAGTGGTAAAGCCTAGCAAATGCAAGGCCCTGAATTCAAGCCTCAGTACCTCAAAAAAAAAAAAAAATTATTGCTATCCTTAAAAATAGAATAGTTCATACATGAAAAAGAAAGGGGCATTTAAAAACATTCAGGTAAGAAAGAGCTCTTAAAATTCCTGGATGTAGTGGCACACATGTATAACCCAGCATTCAGGAGAAAGGCAGAAGAATCCCAAAATTTGAAGCTCGCCTGGGCTACATAGAGAGTTGCAGGCCAGCCTGAGCTACATTTCAAAATACCATCTCAAAAGACAAAATAATTAAAGAAAATAAAGAAAAAGGAAAGAGCTCTTAGAAATGAAAAATATAGAACAAATAACACACAACTCTTAGCCAGGTGTCAGTGACTCACGCCTGTAATCCTAGCTACTTAGGAGGCAGAGATCAGGAGAATCATGGTTCAAAGCCAGCCCACCCAAACAGTTCAAGAGACTTCATCTCGAAAAAAAACAACCCAAAACAGGGCTGCCAGAGTGGCTCAAACGTTAGAGCACCTGCCTAGCAAGTGTGAGATCCTGAGTTCAAAACCCCAGTACCAACAAAAAACAAGGAACTCTTAGAAATGAATATAACAGAAATTTTAAGTCCAAAAGACAGGTAAGAAGACAACGTGGAGAAAATAACCAGAAAGTATAATCAAAAGGTAAATAAAAAGCAAAGGGAAAAGAAAAAGACAAATCAGAAAATAAGTCCAAGTTTAAAATTCAAATTACAAAAAAAATCAGAAAACAGTAGAAGTTACTCAAGAAAGAAAGGTTCTAAAAATAAAGGCATCACTTCTCATACAAAAAAGGCCAAGTACCCAGCACTATGAACGAAAAAAGATCCACAACAAAATACGTCAATATGAGATTCCAGAAAACAAAGAAGTAAAAAAGCCTTAAAGCCTTTTAGGAGAGAAAAAACACTGATCACATACAAAAGGTTAGAAAGTGGCATAACATCAGATTACTAATAGAATAATGAAAACTCCAAGTCAATAGAATGATAACGATCAAATTTCTGAGAACAAAAATGAAGTAGATTTGTATACTTAGGTTAAATATCAGTCATGTGTGAGAAGAATAAAACAAATCTCTAAAGAGTCAAAAAAAAAAAAAAAAGTTCCCCACATAACCATGCTCAGGAAGCAACTGGAGTGTGTTCCACTCACTAAAATGAGGAACTAACCAAGAAAGAGAAAAAACACAGACTCCAATACAGAAAGAAAACAGCAATTCTAGGATGGCCACTGTGTGTCCCAGATGAGTGTGAAGATGAAAAACTCTGGAAGAAAAATCTCCATGAAAAACATGTTAGTGATGCATTATCTGATGTGTTATAACTATGAAGTAAATTTCCTCTTAATAAGGGCATTGGGGGATGAACTAATTATTAGCCATTGATAGCAAAACAAAAAACTGAGCAAAAGGAAAAGAGGCAAGCATTAGGGTACAGGTCCGGTATAAGGGAGGAGACTTTTATAAGAAAGAAATTATAAGGGCTGGGGGGTAGCTCCATGGTAGAGTTGTTTGCCTAGCATGCTCAAGACCCTGCATTTGATCCCCATGACCATTAAAAAAGTGTAATCAAAGGATACTGCATAGTTCAACTGTAAATATCACTTCTGTAATCATAATATTATGCCCACTGAATATTGCTTTAACTGTGTTGAGAGAAATGAGGGAAGGAAGTAGGTAAGAATGCTAAACCTTCATCTTGTATAATAGGAACTCCACAGATAAATTTCTTAATTAGAAAATCAAGAAGTCATAATTATTTATAATGTTGAACTATACCGGAGGGATGTAAATACTAGAATAAAAAGATAAGAGCTGAAAACAATTGCCTCTGTGAATCTAGGGTCTAAAAAGAAAGATCTGAAACAGACCCTACATATTATTTAACTTTTTAAATGATGTGTTTATTAATTTGACCTAAGTAAAACTTGAATTTAGAAAGTATGAATATTCCCAGACTCCCACCCCAGACCTACTAAATCAAAATCTGGGGTAACTCAGATGCAGTGTTTGTTCTAATTTTTAGAGCTGATCATACTGATGCAGTCTATGGACACTCACAGACAAACTGACTATGGACAAAATAAGCAATTCAGAGTTCTCCAAGCTTTGCTGCATAATGGAATCTTACATGAGAAATCGTTTTTAAAAATAAACTGAGACATCCTAATGTAATTGACATGAGTTATAATCGGTGGGTCAGGAGTTTTAAAAACATTCCAAGTGATTTCAATGTGCAACAAAAGTTAGAACTACTGCAGTGATACAAGATACAATAATGAGACGGTGGTGGTGGTAGTGGTGGTGCAGAACTATAATCCCAACATTCAGGAGACTGAGGCAAGAGGATCACAAGTTCAAGGCCAGCCTGAGCTACATAATGAGATCCTGTCTCAAAAAATTAAGGGCTGGGGAAGTAGTAGTTCAGAGGTAGAACACTTGCCTAGCATGCATTAAGGCCATAGGCTGGATCCCCAACACAGCAAAAAAAAAAAAAAAAAAGGAAACAATAAAGCTCTACATCACAATTAACCACCTCTAAAAACTTTCTCAAATTGGAAATATTTTGTCAGGCTAGTGTTAGTAGAGTATCTTCAGCTAGAGCAAGTGACCAAAATACAAATATAGAAGGCAAAGTAAAAGCAGTTCATAAGCCGTCTGTGGCTGTTCATGCTATTGCCAAGACAGGAAGTTTCCAAATATGAAATGCCCAGTTGAGTTAAAAGAGTAGTCCTGAGTTATGACAACACTCACTGTCCTCGGCTTTGGTCACTTGGATTAGGCGAAGACAGTGTTGTAGATTTCAACACTGGCTCCACTATTCTTGCTTTGACCATGGCTATTTCCATGTTCCTTTCACAGAGCAGGCTGTTGTCTCTGGGATGCAGAAAGATAATCCTCTTCTGTTTCCTTAGGAGAAGTCTCACTTTTATTATTTTTGAATTCTTCATTTATCTTTATTCTGGCTGCTTTCAATGCTCTTGCATCATTTTTAAAGACATGTTGTCTGGTCCTGTGCAGTGTCTTAAACAACTGCATAACCTTCATTGTCTGACCCATGGCTCCCCACACCATGGTAGCCACCCTCACCCTACCACTTGAGCCATGCCACTCAGTCCTTTTGCATTTAGTTAATTTTTCCTCTGGAGTCTGGTGCTAACTTTGCTAAGGATGGTCTCAAACCACAATCCTCTTACCTCTGCTTCCAGAGTAGCTGGGACCATAGACACATGACACCATACCCAGCTTGCTTTTGAGATATGGTCTTACCAACCCATGCTGACTTTGAATGACTTTGAACAATGATCCTTTTGTCTCCATCTCTTAACTTTTTCCATGTCTTCTCATTCAAAATACAGACCAGGCACAAGGCCTGGGCTGAGGTATGTGTATAGGGGGTAGGTTTACTTTGCCTCCTCTTTCTATACAGTCAGTGTAAGAACACAGCCTGTGGTAAGAACCAGGACCCCCCACACACACCTTTTTTTTTAAAGGGGCAGTACTAGGGTATGAACTCAGATCCTCAAGCTCTACCCACTTGAGCCATGCCCCCAACACATGATTCTTTAATTAGTAGTCTTCAGAAAGGAATTACACTGTCATGTACTAAACAAATGTTTACATATAATGCAGTCTTATAAAGTTTTTTGAAGGTACTGGGGTTCAGGACCTTGATTTTGCTAGGCAGGCACTCTATCACTTGAGTCAGGCTTGCCCCAGTCCTGTTAAGATTTTTTTCAACAATTAAGTTTAGTTTATTGTATATTATCACTGCTATACGCTCCTATATTACATATAACAATGCACTACATTTACCTTCTAGGCATCACAGTGTTAAGAACCATCCATAATTTATTGACTGTTTGAAGAATTCTCCGTGGAACCCCTGAATTCAACAGCTGGCTCATATTGGATGTCAATACTTCCGCATATGGTATAAGTTCACTGGCAGAGAGGAGAGTCAAGTGTTCTATAATCTGCATCACTTGTGTGTGACTTACTGAGACAGCTGAAAACGCTAAAAGAAAATTTAGCAGTCAGATCTAAATTCTGTAGTTTACCAAGCAGGAAATAGTACTGCTCTCTTAGACAACATACCAAACAAATCAAGAAAACAATGTTGCTAAAAAGTAAGACTTTCAATCAGAGTTGTAGTTTTGATTAAACCTAAAAAAGGGCCTTTAGAAAAATTCCTGCAAGTGCAGTTGCTATCTCATAAACAACAAAAAGTACTCATTTTTTAAATCACATTAGTGACCCAAAGACTAACCTACTTTCTTGCATGATTCAAGCTGATTTTCAAGGCAGGATTGAAAAAAGGAAAATGAGCCAAAGTATTGCTTCTGGCAGTCATCGAACTCCTTGATACTTTTCTTCAGGTGGCCCCTTTATAGGCTATAAACATCCAGCAAGCCAGGCAGCAGTGGCTCATGCCTATAATTCTAGCTACTTGGGAGGCTGAGATTGGGAGGATTCTGTGATTCAAGGCCAGCCCAGGCAAAGAGGTCATGAGACTCCATCCAAAATAATCACAACAAAATAGACCAGAGATGTGACTCAAGCAGTAAAGCACTGGCTTTGCAAGCACAAAATCCTGAGTTCAAACTCCAGTCTGGCCAAAAAGAAAAAAAAAAAAAAGCATCTAGAAGTTTGCTTTTGCTAAAACTTACCTAGAACTGTTCTCTCCAATATTGTACTCACTAACAACACCTGAGATGTAGCTAATTCAAACTGAACTGTAATGTAAGTATAAAATACATACCAAATGGAAAAATTTAATGTGGGTAAAAAAAGAAAAACATTTCATTAACACTTTCTTATGTGGCAGTACTGGAGTTTGAACTCAGGGCCTTCCAGTTGCTAGGCAGGTGCTCTACCAATTGAGCCACACTCTCTTTTCTGCTTTAGTTTCTTTTCAGATAGGCTCTCATGCTTTTGCTGACCTCAGACCATGATACTCCTACCTTTACCTCCTGAGATGCTGGGATTACAGATTCATATCACCATGCCTGGCTTAGTTGAGATGGGGGTCTCACTAATTTTTTGCCCAAACTGGCCTCCAACCTCAATCCTCCTGATCGCCATCTCCCAAGCAGCTGGGATAACAGACATGCATGACCATGTCCACCCAGCCTCATGAATACTTTTTATATTGATTATATGGTGAATGTGTTGAAAAAATTTGGTTAAATAAAATAATTACTAAAATTTATTTTTGCTGTTTTTTCCTTTCTTGCTGCCAAAGGATTGCCCACCATAACGAACAGCACAGTAACTATGGGGCCAAGGAAATTCATTACCAACTGACTACTTCAGAGGAAACAAATGATCATAGATGTCCTTTACCCAGGGAAAACAATAGTACCTAAAACAGAAATTCAGTAAAAATTAGTCAAAACTTGTAAGACCACAGTCCCCTTGTTTGAATTCAGAACCCATGTGGCAAGACAACTGGCTTTGGGATCATTTATACTCCTTTGGATTATGCAAAGAAAAACGGACCCAAACACAGACTTGCAAGACGTGGCAAGTATAAAAAGAAAAAGATCTCAAGAGCTGGGGTGTAGCTTAGGGGTAAAGTGCTTGCCTTGCATGCAGAAGGCCCAGGGTTTGATCCTCAACATCAAAGGGAAAAAAGATAAAACAGTGAAAGGGACAAGAACAGAAAGAAGACAGTCAAGAGAAATGCAAAGACCAATGTTGGCATTACAAAAAGGGGTCAAAGAGGCCGAGCACTGGAGACTCATGCCTAAAATCTTAGCCACTCAGGAAGCAGAGATCAGGAGGTTCGAAGCCAGCCCTAGGCAAATAGTTAGTGACACCCTATCTCAAAAAACCCATCACAAAAAAAGGCCAGCAGAATGCCTCAAGTGGTGGAGTTCCTGCCTAGCAAGCATGAGGCCCTGAGTCCAAACCCCAGAGCTGCTGATAAAAAAAAAGAGTAAAGAGCCAGGTATCGTAGGGCTTCCCTATAATCCCAGCTACTCAGGAAGTGAAAGCATGAATTGAAGCAAACCCAGGAAAAGTAGTGAGAACCTGTTTCAAAAACAAATTACAAAAGCCAATGGGCGTGGCTCAAGTGATAGAGCACTTCCCTAGCATGCAGGATGCCCAAGATTCAATCCCAAGTGCTAAAAAATAAAATATAAAGATTCTGCAATGGCTTTACCTTGCTTGCAGTGATTGTGCAGATTTTTCACAAGATTTATAAACTATAAAAACTTTAAAACTTTTCAAAAAGTTAATTTGTTTCCTTTTACTTTTTAATAAAGCTACTATTAAGTTTATATGTGTGGCTCACATTATTTCTGTTTATTTTTACTTGTTTATTTATTTACTTATTTTTGCAATATGGGGTTTGAACTCAGGGCCTCACGCTTACTATCACTTGAGCTACTCCACCAGCCCTCATTATTTCTATTTAGCAGTGCTGACCTAGAACATTATCCATTAATAGTAAGTATACCAACTTATTCTATTGCATTTATTTCTAACCAATTTAGGGCTTTTCTACCTTTTTCTACCAGACCACCTTTTTAGTGATATAACATAGGATTTAAGGGAAAAGATATAAGCCTTTCAGTCTGATCCCTAGCATTGGGGGGAAAAAAGATACAATCATTTTCACAAAGAAATGGTTAAAACTCCTTAAACTCAAAGAGAATTACTTAAAATGTATTCACAGAACACTGCTATAACCTGAGAAAAGTTCTGCATGATTACAAGATTTCAATTAGTCCAGTATCTCCTTATACAACTAACAGAATAAGGGGAGTATGAATTTACTGTACCTTCTTGGAGTTGTTTAGGAGAGTGGTTTTTGGCATTATTAGTCAGGAGCATTCGCCTTAACAGGGCATCAGTCCCTGTGATTTCTTCTTCACAGATCCAATCATCCACAATACATAAATGTGGGTAATTAGTTGCAAGGAGACGTAGTAATGCTGAATGCAACCCTTAAAAAATAATGGCAAGGTTAATTGGATTCTCCACTTCCAAAGACTAGAAGCCTCTCTACATTTCATTTTTAGCAAGCAACAGGCCACAAGAAAAGAGGTTATGCTCTAAAGCACTATTTCCCAAACCTCTAGCATCAGAAGCTTGGGAGTGCAGAATAATGGATGCCATGCCAGATGACTAGAGTAGAAACACTGGAATGGAGCCCAAGGAATTTGTTTTCTGTGCATATCAGAGTTCAAGAATTTCTGTAGAGTGTTTTAGCCAGAGTCTGCTTAAATAAAAATCCCAAAGAAATCTGATACACAGTGAGTTGGGAACTACTTCTTGTATTAAAAGTTCCAAAGCTGTCTTCCACCTCATCCCAATGTAAGTCTCACATCAGAAAAAGCTGCTTGACAGAGCAGTGGTTCAAGAGTTAAGGGGAAGGGAAAGAAAAAGAGGGGAAAAGAATACCCACTCAGAAACTCTGAAAAGCTTCTGTGAAAAAACATGCCTTTTCCTCCAACCCCACAAAGAATCGTAACTAGACAGGTGAAATTAAAGTTGACCATTTTGAATATCTAAAAGTGGCACCTTTTAGCTAAACCTATCTTTTATTAAATTAAATCCTAGTTTCCAACATTTTGCCTATAGCACAATTTGACTATTTATAACTGCTGTGTAATAATAAGAAAACAAATGATGATACCATAAAAATGTTTATCTAGTTGCAAGAAGTGCCACAAGCTAAGTGGTTGGCATTTATGTATCTAATAAGTACTGTAGCTACTACACTATTATTATCATCACCATCAGAGTAGCAACAGTAAAGTAATGGCAGTAATAGTAATCAAATCTAATCATTCCTTTATTATACAACTTAAATCATATCACTGCTTAATCCCATTAGGGATGATATCTACTTCCTTTCCAGAGATACTACTTAAAATTGATGTTTCTATGTTTAAAAACACATTGTAACAATCAACAGTGGCATTATTTTAAAAATTAAATCTTTAAAGCACACAACAATGTATGTACAATTAAAACTACCACCCAACAGTCACAAAAAGACTGCTTACAATAGTACAAACTAATCTATTTGTTACACTCTTTTCAATAAAACACGTTAATTGCCAAGGGCTGCCAAATACAGTATCAATCCTTTGGAAATAGACTGTACAAAGATATAAGCAAATAAATGCAGCCACTGGTTAAAGATGACCAATGAAAGCTCATTTTTCTCCTTAAAACCAAACACAATAAAGAAAGAAAAAGAAGGGAAGTAGGGGGAAGAGGGAGAATAATGGAGGGAATGAACCAAATCAGGATACAATATATGTATATATGAAAATGTCACAATGAAAGCCCAAGTATAACTACCATAATTCTGATAAAAAATGCTAAAAAATAAAAGTATTTACAAAGAAAAAAAAAATCACAATGTCAAAGAAACAGAAAAAAATTCACAATTCAAACATAAAAGTTTAAGAAAAATATCTAATTTCTAGAAATATGTCTACTTGACAGCAATTATAAACTCTTATATCCATATTAATATACTATGGAATATTATGGGACAATTACAAACAATAAGGTAGAGCTACATGTAATGATATAAAAAGATGTTGAATAACCCAAGAAAAAGAAGCCCTAGGGGCTGAGGTGTGGCTCAAGTGGTAGAGCACCCACATAGCAAGTATGAAGCCCTGAATTCAAAAGCCAATCCCTCTCCCTGCCAAAAAAGTCTCAGAAGAGACAGGATATAATGTCATTCGTTGTTTTTAAGAAAACATTTGTGTGTGTACCTATTAGGTCCAACCTTATAAAATTATTGATCCTGTAGGTCAAAAATACAGATGGTCCCCAACTTATGGCATGAGTTATAATTTTTCAGTGTTACAAGACTGTGAATGTGACATGCATTTAGTAGAGACCATACTTTGAAAAGTGATCTTTTCCAGACCTAATGACATACAGTGAGATACTCTCTAATGACGCCAGGCAGCATCAGTGAGCAGCTCCCCGTTAGTCACATGACCACAGAGGTAGACAACCACTTCTCTACAGTATTGCTAAGCTATGATAATTCACTAGATATATTAAACACATCTTTGACTTGAGATATTTTCAACTTACAATGGGGTTACATGGTAATTAATCCATGTAAGTCGAATAAATCCATTGTTTATATTGCCTTTTTTTTCTTTTCCAGTGTTTGGGATCAAATCCAGGGCCTGTACATACCAAGGTAGCTCAGCACACTACTACTGAGTTGCATCCCCAAGCCTGAACATCTGCAATTTTATTTGGTTCAACCTATAGGGGAAAATGTCTAACAATACACTCCAAAATGAAAACAGCTGTGGATTTTTTGGAATGAAGAGACAGTTTGCAGGGAGTGAAACAAAGAGGAATTTCACTCTTGAACTGTTTGAACTTTTAACATTGAGCACCTATTGCAGTTTATAATATATACCAAGAAACTTTAGCACTAAAAGGCAAATAAAAAATACCTCCCAATTCCTGCTGCAGCCCTTGAGCCTGTCGAATCAGGAATTTGATAGGGATCTGATCCATTAAAGAAGAAGAATATGACTTGGGTTTCCTTTGCATGGCAGCTGTCAAAGATAAAAAAGTGTAAAATAAAGTGTTGGAAATCTTAACCTTCAACCCAAATGGGAATAAAAACAATTATTATTAAAGTTCTTTTAATTCACTTAATCTTCAATATACTGCTTAGAACCACTACCAAAATGGTAAATATGCAGGAAAAGCAAGAACAAATCTAAGGGCGAGATCTATAAAATGCCATGAAATTGAAACCAGTGGGGAGAAAAATCATTATAAGTGAGAAAAGCCATTGCAGAAGTACACTACACTAAACTGAAAGTGAGTCCAGACTTTCCAAATCCAATTAGGAGAATCAAATGCAGTCAGGAACACATGGCACAGAGCTTCATGATTCTTTTTGTAACTTATGAAAAGAAGCCTTAATTTATTCACATTACATATTATAGTGGTGACGGCCTATTTAAAGGAAGTTAGGCCATATGCATTTGACTTCCTTCTCTCAGAAGAAGTTAGCAATGCTCACCCTTTATTTTTCTTTTTAACAAGTCCATCTTAATTTCTGTTCCTTTTCTGCTGTCCTTATTCAGAACCTACTTACCCGTTGCATAAAAACACACTATGGTCCAACTGCCTTGCCTCCAATTTCTCACCTCTTTAATCCATCCTTCATCCTATAGTCATAGTCCCTTTAAACAGAGTTAGTCAAATTATGTATCATGTATCTCCAGCTCTATACTCAAAACCTTCCATGGAGCCTGGCACCTGTGGCTCCTAGCTGCTTGGAAGGCTGAAATTGGGAGGATTGAGGTTGAAGACTAACCAGGACAAATAGTTTGTAGATGAGACTCCATCCCCAAAATAACCAAAGAAAAATGGACTGGAGGTATGGCTCAAGTGATAAGAGTGCCTGCTTTGCAAGTACAATGTCCTTGAGTGCAAAGCCCATTACCACCAGAAAAAAATAAACCTTCAATAGATTCCTAGATTGAATATAGTGAGGAGCCCTGCCAATCAGCACTACTTTTCCTGTCTTAACTCCATCATATTCTATATGCTGGGCTGGGGTGTGGCTCAAGTTGTAGAGCACCTGCCTAGCAAGCATAAGGTCCTGAGCTCAAACACCAGCTCCTCAAAACAAAAATAAAATAAGGGTGAGCTATTCCCAGCCACTCCCAGTACACTTTGTTGGAACAGTGAGTAAATTGAGGGAAATGTTATGTGGAGTTCGAAAAAGTTCAAGTACAGAGAGGTATGGACTGGCAGAGTAGCACAAGCCATAAGAGTGCCTACCTAGCAAGCGTGAGGCCCTGTTTCAAACCCCAGTGCCACCAAAATTAAAAAGAAAACATATTCTGTATGCTTAGCACACTAATCTCACTATAACGTACCTTCCTGTATACCACATGAATATATGAAACGCTCAGTCAGGGTGTCTGTAGTTTTGAAAAGCATACAGATATGATTATTCTTTTTCAAACCACAAAATGTAAAGCACAAAATTTCTTTTGATTGAGATATATATATGTATTAGAAAAAAGGTTAAGAATTGCTGCCTGCGGGAGGAGGGATAAAGAGAATGGTGGAGGGGTTGAATTCAAGTATGATATATTTGATACATTCTAAGAACTTTTCTAAATGCCACAATATACCTCACCTAGCACAACAATAAAAAACAAATAAAATAAAATGTTTAAGCATTTAAAAAAATCAGTCTATATAACCATATATACCATAACTAGATATAATCCTCCATATAAATAAATTGACATCCTAGTTTTCGATCAATCTTTTACAAACTGAGTAAGAATGTGTCAGAAAGCAGTTAAAATGGTTCTAACAGTTAATTAACTCCACTGTGCCTCAGTGTTCCCCCAATAAAGATAACCTCTCTCACAAAACTGTTGTAAGGGTTTACATGATTTAATACCTATGAAGTGCTTCAGTAATGTCTGCCACACACCAAAGACTCAAATGTAAGCTAGTGTAATTAAAATCTAAAGTCAGGGCTGAAGGTTGTAGAGCTCAGAGGTAAAGCACATGCTTAGTATGGCCAGGTCCTACCACCAAATAATAATTACAGATAGACAGATAGATATACATAATGTGCGTGTGTATGTGTGTGTATATGTGTGTTTATGTGTGTATATACATGTTTGTATATACACACAAAAATGTGTGTGTTTATTCACAATAGCCAAGCTATGGAAACAGCCAAGATGCCCCACTACCGACTAATGGATCAAGAAAATGTGGTATTTATACACAATGGAATTTCTCCCAGCCACAAAGAAGAATGAAATTTGTCATTCGCGAGTAAATGGATGGAACTGGAGATCATCATCTTAAGCAAAGTTAGCCAGGCTCAGAGGGCCAAAAATCACATGTTCTCCCTCATATGCGGACTTTAGATTTAGGGCAAATGCAGTAGTGTTGTTGGACTTGTGTCACACACTAAGGAGAGACCACATACAGGAGGAATAGGGAAAGGGAAGGAAACCTAAAGCATGAATGTGGTTAATGTGCCCACTGTAGAGGAGCAAATAAAGTAATCTTAAACTGGCAGAGGCCACTGTGGAAGTGGACCAAGAAGTAGAGAAGTGGTCTGGCAGAGATGAACCAACGTGGGCTTCAATACACAAGTGCATGGAAGCAATTCTAGGAATCTCTCTGTATAGCTATCTTTACCTCAAATTAGCAAAAATGCTATGTCTTTCTTACTATCTCTTATGTTTTTAACAAAATTGGAGAAGAAGAGGGCAAACAGGTTCTGCCTGGAAGCGAGGGGGGTGGGGAATACGGGGGAAGGGGGGAAGGGGGTAGTAGTGGGGAGAAATGGCCCAAAACAATGTATATACATATGAATTAATGTATAAACAATAAAAAAAAAAGAATCACTAAGTAAATAAATAAATAAAATATGTGTGTATAAATAAATAGAGTGTTGGAGGCCTGGTTCAAGCCCTAGAGTGCCTGCCTTGCAAGTGCGAAGCCCTTATAGTGCCAAAAAAATACACTGGTAAGACAGTCTTCAAGATCACTTAGGGTGAGGTATCAATAAAAATTAAGTTTCTGGACTTATGAAATTTAAGATAAAATCCTAAATACATTTTAATGATTCTATTAATTAGCAGCTCATGAAGCCACAAGCTTAGCAATTAGTAATTATTTCTCTTTCATATCTATGTGAACTATAACATCAAGTATATTCTTAACCCTTCAGTGAAAGACTCAACCATAATCATGAAAGGCCTATGGGAAGAACATTGAATTATTTTGTTTTGTTTTGTTTTGTAGGGAATTCTATCAAACACTTAAAGATGAAATGAATTCAACTCTTCACAAATTTTACCAGAAATTACAAGGGGAGAAAAATACTTTACAATTCATTCCATGCAGTCACATTATCTAATAGCAAAATAAAAAAAAAAATTATAAGGAACAGAAACTTCTCACCCATATCCCACAGGGCCACAGAAGGAAAATTTCTTTTAAAAAATTTTTTTCTGATTATTTTGGAGATGGGGGGGCGGTCTCACAAACAATTTGCCTGGGCTGGCCTCAAGTCTTGATCCTCCTGATCTCAGCCTCCCAAACAGTCAGGATTATGCAAGAGAACCACTAGCACCAGACAAAAACATTGGTCTTATATGAACATTTGCATTAAAAAATTTCTTCCAATGAATGGTTTTCAAAGGTCCAAACCTAATATTTAAACTCACTCTCAACAAAATTTAAGAAATGATGCTATTTTTGTGGAATTTTTACACTTAAAAAGATAACAAACTTCCTAAGTCATTTATAAAATTATTGTAAACCTGATGTCAAAATCTACAAGTCAGGAGCCAGTAGCTCACTCCCATAACCCTAGCTACTCAGAAGGCAGAGGAGACCAGGAGGATTGTAGTTTGAAGCCAGGAAAATAGTTCAAGAGACCCTATCTCAAAAATACCCAACCCAAAAAAGGGCTGGTGGAGTGGCTCAAGGTATAGACCCTGAGTTCAAACCCCAGTATTGTAAGAAAAAAAAAAAAGAAGAAAAGGAAAGAAATAAGAAAAAGGAAAAAAAAATATTAAGTAGGAAAACAAATTAAAAATATATTACGATTTCAACTTTATGAAAGCCATCATATATATAAAAATGAATGATTTCGACTTCTGGGCAGTAAAATTATGGGTATTTTATACTTAGTTTTTGTACTTTTCTCATTTCCTACATTTTCTGAGTAAACATACTTTTAATACACGTTTTTCTTTTTAAAACCAGCTGTGTTATATAAAATAAAATATGTAAACAATTACATAAGTCATGAAATAAGTATAAAATCCTTACTATTAGAACCTTTCTTTGTCAATACTTGATTTAAATCTAGGTTTAACTCTAGATTTAACTAGCTCCAAAACTTCAAGCTGCTAAGGAGTAATATCTGCCAATGTTTGCTTAAAAGTTTCTGCATTTAAAAAGGGACAGATGGAGTAACTTCTCAGAAGAAAATAATTGTCAAGAGCAAAGAAAAAATTTTAAGTCCAAGAATTTAGAGCCAGTGAACATAACAGTTTCCCAAGCACCAAAAGATGCTGGTGACCAAAAAGGAAATTTCACATATAACAGAAGGATAGAACAGAAAGAAAAGGCCAGACTTTGTTTTAAAGTAATGTGAAACTGGAGGGTAAGTTAAGCCAAGTAATGCTTTAGCAAGTGCAAAGTGAGATTGTGAGCCGAGCACGGTGGTACACATCTATAATCCCCAAACTCTGGAGTCTGTGGCAAAAAGATAGTAAGTTTGAGTCCAGCTAGGGCTACAAAGCTAGACACTCTCACAGGAAAAAAAAAAAAAAAAAACAGAGAGAGAGAGAGAGAGAGAGAGCGATTATGTTTAGCATTCTATAGCTTGCTTTAAGAAATAGGTACATAATTTTTTTTTTTCTTGGTGGTACTGGGGTTTGAACTTGGCCTCACACTTGCTAGGCAGGCACTCTATCACTTGAGTCACTCCACCAGACGTGTGTGTGTGTGTGTGTGTGTGTGTTTGCATGCGCACACAGAGCCT